ACTCATAGCCAATGAGAGCAATATCAACACCAAAAGTACATTAATGGCAAAAAGTAAAAAAAAAATGTTGGTCCATTGTAAGATGGGTGTGTTAATCAGGATAAGGCAGACATTCTAAATATGTTTTTCTTCAGTATATAGCAAATAAGAATCTATGGCTGTACAACTGCAAATCCCTGTCAGAAAACCTTACAGCAAACAGGTGATTGGTTAGAAAATAATAATTTTCCACCACAATTAAATTAAGTTAATGTCAAAAAGCTCCAGGTGTTACCTTGGCCTCCAAATTCCCCAGATCTCAATCCCTTTGAGCATCTGTGGGATGTGCTGGAACAATAAATCTGATTTATTAATAATGCCAGGCCAAGCAGTACATGGAAGGTCAAGAATTACAAAATTGAAAAGATCTAAGAGAAACAGAGAGTTGGAGGGATGTAAATAAAAGACCAGAAAATGAAAAATCTAATTGGGGCAAGGGGATGTGGGCAAGTTTGCAGAGCCCAATGCTAGTCTACATTGAGCCAGAGTGGGGCTGGTCGGATCTGGACCGTCAGACAGCGCCCAGTGAAAAACAGGTGGATGTGAACGTCTGATAATTGTCAGAGCTGGAGAGGACCAACTGCTCCCTGGATCGTATGCTCTTAACCCTGAATCCAGTCCCAGATTGTTCGGGACCGCACTCCGCCTTCAATTAACTGGAATGAGACTCTGTGCAGCATTGGGCAAATAGCAATGCTATTGGGCTGTTAATAACCAAACCCAACATTGATTTTCGAGAATGTTGCTAGAGAATGCTGCTAGAAATTGGATAAAGGAACGGTAATATTGAAACAATGATAAATTATCTTCTGGGTTAGATGTAGGTAACAACCTCTTCATCCTCTGTGATCATTGAGTTTAGGCCAATACCACAGTATGTACATTAATTATAGCTTTGTAGAGCAATAAGAATATTTCATATGTATATATTTTGCAATAGACTGATTTTCACATCATCTGGTTCGCAGATCAAGTGAGAAGTAACTAATAAATGGTGCAAAATAAAAACAACAAAAACTATATTTATATATTTATTAAATATATAAATTCAGTGAGGGAAAAAAGTATTTGATCCCCTGCTGATTTTGAATGTTAGCCCATTGACAAAGAAATGATCAGTCTATAATGTTAATGGTAGGTGTATTTTAACAATGAGACACAGAATAACCAAAAAAAGAATTCAGAAAAATGCATGTCAAAAAAGTTATAAATTGATTTGCATGTCACTGAGTAAAATAAGTATGGCAAAACCCTTGTTGGCAATCACAGAGGTCAGACAGTTCTTGTAGTTGGCCACCAGGTTTGCACACATCTCAGGAGGGATTTTGTCCCACTCCTCTTTGCAGATCCTCTCCAAGTCATTAAGGTTTCGAGGCTGATGTTCGGCAATTCGAACCTTTAGCTACCTCCACAGATTTTCTATGGGATTAAGGTCTGGAGACTGGCTAGGCCACTCCAGGACCTAAATGTGCTTCTTCTTGAGCCATTCCTTTGTTGCCTTGGTAGTGTGTTTTGGCTCATTGTCATGCTGGAATACCTATCCACAACCCATTTTCAATGTCCTGGCCGAGGGAAGGAGGTTCTCACCCAAGATTTGACGGTACATGGCTCCGTCCATAGTCCATTTGATGCAGTGTAGTTGTCCTATCCCCTTAGCAGAAAAACACACCTAAAGCATAATGTTTCCACCTCCATGTTTGACGGTGGGGATGGTGTTCTTGGGGTAAAAGGCAGCATTCCACCTCCTCCAGCGAGTTGAGTTGATGCCAAAGAGCAAAATTTTGGTCTTATCTGACACCAACACTTTCACCCAGTTCTCCTCTGAATCATTCAGATGTTCATTGGCAAACTTCAGATGGGCCTGTACATGTGCTTTCTTGAGCAGGGTGACCTTGCCGGTGCTGCAGGATTTCAGTCCTTCACGGCATAGTGTGTTACCAATTGTTTTCTTGGTGACTATGATCCCAGCTGCTTTGAGATCATTAACAAGATCCTCCAGTGTAATTCTGGGCAGATTCCTCACCGTTCCCACGATCATTGAAACTCCACGAGGTGAGATCTTGCATGGAGCACCAGACCGAGGGAGACTGATAGTTATTTTGTGTTTCTTCCATTTGTGAATAATCGCATCAACTTCTCACCAAGCTGTTTGGCAATGGTCTTGTACCCCATTACAGCCTTGTGTAGGTCTACAATCTTGTCCCTGACATCCTTGGACAGCTCTTTGGTCTTGGCCATAGTGGAGAGTTTGAAATCTGATTGATTGCTTCTGTGGACAGGTGTCTTTTATACAGGTAACAAACTGAGATTAGGAGCACTCCCTTAAAGAGAGTGCTCCTAATCTCAGCTCGATACCTGTATAAAAGACACTTGGAAGCCAGAAATCTTGCTGATTTATAGGGGATCAAATACTTATTTCACTCATTGACATGCAAATTAATTTATAACATTTTTGACGTGCGTTTTTCTGGATAATTTTTTTGTTATTCTGTCTCTCACCGTGTAAATACACCTACCATTAAACTTATAGACTGATCATTTCTTTGTCAGTGGACAAATGAGCAAAATCAGCAAGGTATCAAATACTTTTTCCCTCACTGTACATATATATTTTTTTCTGCTCCTTTTTTCCCCCTTTGTTGGTCACCAGTACCACTCACTTTATCTGTGAATAAAACCAACATTTCATATAACCATCTTCTTTTCCATCAATCAGCTTTTTTTTGGGGCGCCTCTGACGGAATTTCGAATTAGGAAACAGACAAAACTGTTCATCAGTTGTATGTTTCATTTGTTTTGTGATTTGGTCAAATGGCGATTCAGAGTTATGGAATTCGGACAAATCACATATTATTTGGACGAACTGTAATTAATTTGAAAAATAATGCACAAGTCTATTCTTATTTGTTTTAAACTGGCGAGTTTGTTTTATGAAAGACATTTTTTTTCAATAATTGAATATTGTCTTAAAATAATTTACTAGATTTTCGTCCCTGCACTAATTGGACTATTACCCAAGAGTTTTATGTTGCCTATTTATTTATTTATGTATTTATTACCTATTCCCTACATGCTGAAATTCACAGCTAGATGATGCAATAAAGAGACATAAACTGTTTTAAATATGTGTGCACTAGTCTGTAAGCCGATGCAAAGTGTTCTGCTGAGCATTTGAACCTGCTAATAGTTCAGGACCATCTTTCTCTAGTATCACTTAAAAGATGTAGTTAAAGGTTTAAATTATCTTTAATGCTTCAGGATCTAAAGGACTTATATGAAAGATATATATCATGAAAATATATATAAATGGTAAGTTGATCCTCCCTTCGTCCTGTCTCTGTTGGAGTCCCCCAAGGCTCTGTACTTGGTCCCCTTCTATTTTCTCTTTATACTGCCTCTCTTGGCAAACTTATTACCTAATTTGGATTCCAATACCACCTGTACGCTGATGACATTCAGATATACCTCTTCTCCCCGGATCTCTCTCCTGCCGTCGTGCTACGTGTCACTGCTTGCCTTTATTCCATCTATGACTGCATGTCCTCCCGCTTTTTGAAACTCAATCTCTCTAAAACTGAACTCTTTGTCTTTCCTCCTGCTGATACTGTTCCCACTCTTTCGCTCTCCCTTCATTTAAGTACTACCCACATCAGTCCATTCTTGCAAGCGCGCTGTCTTGGTGTTATACTTGATTCTGGCCTCAAATTTGGGCCTCACATCCAGTTACCAAATCCTGTAGATTTCACCTTAAAACATAGCCCGCATCCGCCCCTTTCTTACACAAGATGCTACTAAGGAGCTAGTCCATGCTCTAGTAATCTCTTGCATGGATTATTGTAACGCTCTCCTTATAGGTCTTCCCAAAAGCCGTATTGCCCTGTTACAGTCTTCAATGAATGCTGTCGCCAGACTGATTTTCCTCTCTAGTCGCTCCTCTCACACCTCTCCCCTCTGTCAGTCCTTACATTGGCTTCCTGTATCCTATAGGAGTCAATTCAAAGTGCTAACCCATACCTATAAAGCACTGACCAAGTCTAGCCCCTCCATAGGTATGCCCCTTCTCGGTCTCTCCACTCTGCCCATGACCTTCTCCTGTCCCCTGCTCGCACCCGTACGGCCAACTCACGCTTGAAGGACTTCTCGCGGGTGGCTCCTTTCTTTTGGAAAAGCCTGCCTACGACCATGAAGCTCTCCCCTAGTCTTCAATCATTTAAAAAGTGCCTTTAAAACCTCTACCTCACATACCTGTCCCTTGCTCTCTCCTAAAGGGCAGCACTTTATTCTCTCCTCCAGCTCTGCTTCACTAAACCTTGTTTGATTGCTACCTCCTGTCCTGTTGGATTTTATGTCCACCTCCTATAGACTCTAAGCTCGTTTGAGCAGGGCCCTCTTCAACCTATTGTTCCTGTAGGTTTTTATAATTGTCTCATTTATTGTTAAATCCCCCCTTTGATAATATTGTAAAGCGCTACAGAATATGCTGGAGCTATATAAATACCAATAATAATAATAATAATAGCAATTAGAACAGGCTTGAGATTTAGTATTTTTTCACAATTCTTAACACAATTTTGCGTTGTTAGGAAATAGACGTTTCATTTCTAAAATAATAAGCAGCTATTTTTTTTTTACTTTATAGCCCTGGTTAATGCCTTTGCTTACTATGATTGGTTTATAATAAAATGTCACAATAAATTTTGTAATAATCTATCACCTTTGCTATTAGTATTTAATAAGGTAGCTATTACAGACTGCCAGCATACTATTTTGTAGAATTCTTCGCCCTCTTTCACCTCAACACAAAACAAAGTTATGTAACTTTATGTTTTTATATGTATATATATATTATTTTTTTTATTTTTCAAAATCTAATAATTATATACTAAGGTGCCCAAATTAATAAATCCGTTCCCCCTTGTTTTCCTGATGAAGTTGCACAGACAATTCTACATTCAATAAAGATGTGGAATAAATTAATGAGAATGGATAACCATAAACATGTAATCAATATTACTTCCACTAGTCAGGTAAGCGTTTTGGAATCTTTTGCTATACTTAAAGGAAAATAGTCATCATTTTTATTATTGATTTTAAATAAGAAACTGCATGCATTATATATTATTTTTTACTTTATATTACTTTTTTTTCAGTGCATCTCTTTACTTAGCCTTGACCTATGGGCCTATGGGGGCACCTATCTTTAGTCCTCTTTGGTCAGATTGAACTTTTTTCTTTTTGTTAATGTGTTTTATTTGGGTTTTTAAGTTCATCAAGCGTTAACACAGTATGACACTCAGGTCTTAAGGATAAAAGGTCTGCAGGCATCAAGTCAAAAAGCAACAATTAGAGAATGGACTTGCAGGATCTTATATATGGCTAGAAGCCATGCTGGTAATCGAGAATTAGTGAACAAATGCTGAAATCATGAGAAAGAGCTAAGCATCTCAAAAATGCACTCTAGAACAATACATACCTTCAAATTGTGTCAGGTTTTAGCATTTGGTGCTCCTAGCCAAACACAGCCAGAGGTGGCCACATTATCAAACAATATTTAAAAAGAAAACTATACACACAGAAGCTTTGTTACATGCAAATTGTTATCAGGAATAATTACAAAAAATAATGATAGTTTTCCAGTGAGTTGCAAATGTTTTTATACTTGAAAGAGATGTTAAAAGTTGCTTGTAGTTTTCTGATCGTGTTAAAAAAATATATTTTTTATTAAACGCAAGCTTAGTCAACTACAATGTGCAACTGTATTGTCATATCTATATTACTAAGAGATAGGGGTGGCTGTGTGGTTTTATGTGGGCTACAGCTATGCGTCAATTTACTTAATCCCCGTCACCTTACATAAACGCCTAATTGAGTCACCATCTTATTTAATTGAAATGAAAGTACAGTTTGGTGTTTTTGCCTATATAAATATGTGTTTTTGTTTATATAAATAGAGATATTTTAACAGGAACATAAATTGCACCTTCCTGTGATGGTTAAGAGAAGGATACAAGAGATGACTCTGATCTGATCTGTTCTACTAGGGCCTATCTCTAAATCAAAAAGTTTAGATAGGTAAAATGCAGATTTGTATGTTTTTATTTAGTCATTAATTACTACTTGTTATCAAGTGCAATGTGATGTTCTTTGACGGATGTCAGGTTTTGTAAATGTTTTCCAAATCCTTATCTCTTTCAGTAAAAAAAAATTGCTATAAAATAATGATTTATATGATAAATGTGTTGCATTAAATGTATTTCACTATGATTAAGTACTTTGATTTATGGCCAAAATTATGTATATATATATATATATATATATATATATATATATATATATAAATATTTTGTAAACTCGCATTTGTTATTGCCTGGCAGGTGATGGATGGAGAAAATCGGACTTTGGTTAAAGAAATTCATCTTTTGGGATTCCAAGCTCTTCAGAGCTTCAAGATAATCTACTTCTTACTGTTTCTTGCTCTATACATTGTGACATTGACTGGGAATATCATGATTGTCATACTGGTGTCAGCCAGTCCCAAACTAAACCATCCAATGTTTTTCTTCCTTGGTCATCTTTCTATAAGTGACATCATACTAACCACAAATATTGTTCCTAATATGCTATGTATCATACAAAGAGGACACGGTAGCATGTCTCTTCCATCTTGCATTGTCCAACTTCAGTTCTTTGGAATTTCATTAGGTACGGAATGCCTACTCCTTACTGTAATGTCCTACGACCGCTATTTGGCCATATGCAGTCCATTACATTACAACACGATTATGGACACCAGACTTCGTCTTTCCCTTGTTGTTTCTTGTTGGGTATTAGGGTTTATAATATCCTTTGTAACTGTAATACTGGTAAGTCAATTAAATTTTTGTGGACCAAATATCATTGATCACTTTTTCTGTGACTTAGTTCCCCTTTTACAGCTTTCTTGCTCAGACATTTCTGTTGTGCAAATAGAAAATATTGTCCTGGCCACTCTATTGACACTCTTTCCAGCTATAATTATCATTGTGACCTACATTTGTATTTTCATCACCATACTTAAAATTCCATCAACCTCTGGGAGACAAAAAACGTTCTCCACTTGCAGCTCCCATCTGGCCGTTGTATCTACTTTCTATGGAACGCTGGTCACACTCTATGTTATTCCCGCTGATGGTCACTCGTTGAATGCTAACAAGGTTCTGTCTCTGATTTATACTGTTGTGACTCCATTATTTAATCCTATTATTTATAGTCTGAGGAACAAGGAGATAAGAATTGCATTGGATAGGTATGTATTTTTATTGAAGAGATAAAAATGAGGAAATACCACATTTACTTAAATCTAAAGCACACCTTTTTTGTAAAAAAATAATGTTTCCAAAATTTGAACGTGCATTAGAATTGATAACGCATTACATTTAGAGACAAAATTCTGAGGAACAAGGAGATAAGAATTGCATTGGATAGGTATGTATTTTTATTGAAGAGATAAAAATGAGGAAATACCACATTTACTTAAATCTAAAGCACACCTTTTTTGTAAAAAAATAATGTTTCCAAAATTTGAACGTGCATTAGAATTGATAACGCATTACATTTAGAGACAAAATTCAGAATTTTCCAGCAAAATAAAACTGGTGAATTAAAATTAGTGAATTCAAACAGACAAACTCAAACGGACTAAATCAAACAGACAAATTCACACAGGCGAACCTCATTCTGGCGAATTCAAATAGGCAAATTTCGTTCTGGTGAATTCACACAGGCAAATTTTGTTCCTGAAATTATTTATAGAGTTCGCGTTATAGAATGACAATGAATATAGTGAAAATAAATTGTAAAATAGATTGAAAGTAAAATAAATGCAAACACATTAAAAATAATCCATTATGTAAAATGTATCAATAATTGTTCAGGATTTACGTTTTCCAAAAGAGGATCATAAGAAGTAATAATAATAGTACAATAATTATGCACTAGAGGTAAAATAAACAAGTAAAGCTAAAAGCGCACGCACAGGAAGTTGCAGATAGAGAAATTTTCTTTAAATTCAATGTCTTAACTTTACTGCACGACAACAATGAAGAAAAAGATTTAACACTGTTCTCTTTGATTTTTAAGTGGCTAACAGCTTTGGCAAGTATGCCACTGGGATAGAAGCCGTCGAAAAGGGGGGCACTGCTAGTTCAGGCTTATATCAGTGACTCAAATTGCATTACTGATGTGCCTTCTAATGACTTTGCTCTCCTGTTCCCACTGCAGCCAGCTTTAGAGTGAGTAGAAAAGTACACTGGAATCAGCAGGGTGCTGTAGAACCAACTCACTTAGTATAGGTCAGTTTCCTACCAAAGAAAGTATACAGCAGGAAAGGATCATATGCTTCAACATCCTTGTCTTTTGTAGAGCGTTGCTTAGCTGCTTGTCTGTGCCTAGACTCCATTGAATCCACTGAAGTCCCAGCAGCAACTGCTTGTTTAGGTGAGCACGCATCTGCAGTGTGAATCTACACTGCCTGTATCATGAGACCTGATCACCCCTATTTCCTGAGTCCTACTCTTCCCTACATTCCAAGGCCTGTCTCCACTGTATACTGAGACTTGCTCTCCTTTGCATCCCGAGAGTTGCTTTACATTCTTTCCTGAGGCCTGCTGTCCTTTGTATGAGGTCTGCTGCCCAATGTATCCTAAAGCTTGCTCTTCCCTGCATCCTGACGCCTGCTCTCCATTGTGTTCTTGGTTTAAAGGATCACTATAGTGTCAGGAAAACAAACTCGTTTTCCTGACACTATACAACCCTTAGGTCCCCCCCACCCTCAGGGCCCCCCTTCCCTTGATGCTGAAGGGGTTAAATCCCCTTCAGTTACTTACTTTAATCCAGCGCCAGGCTCCCTCGGCACTGGTAACCCCTCCTTTCACTTCGACGTTGGCTCCCGAGTGGAGCGGAATGCGCGGCAAGAGCAATGCTTTCCTATGGACGTTCTGCACGCTGAATGTGTTGTCGATGTTTGGTCTACGTCTACTAGGTCGGTTATCTTTCGCTCAGTTTCCATTGGAATTCTCTAGGCTTAAACAGAGAGGATTTTACGTACGTTGTGATTGGTGCATGGTCCGAGTCTCCGAATGAGCCAATATCAGAGGAAATCAGCCACGCTAGATACTCCTGTGCTATAAAGAGGTAGTCAATCCTGCAATATTCGTTGTGAAGGCGGAATAGTAGGAGTAGTCCCTGGTATCAGGGTGTGCCACCCTCCAGCAGTCCACGAGCCCCGCTCTGCGCAAGGCCATCTTTGCCCTTCTAAGGGAGTGGGGGAGGTATGGTGCAATAACCTGCCTGGAATCCAGGGGCATATTAAGATCTCCGGCCAGGAATAATAGACCTTCTCTGAATTTTTCCAAAAGGGATATTGTTTTAGTCAGGAAGGTGTGTTGCTTCGTATTAGGGCTGTATATTGAGGCAAAGGTATAGGTGTGGTCTGCTATAGTTCCCTTTCCGAAGAGGTATCTACCCATTGGGTCGGATTCTACAGCCCTGCACATAAATTGTGTGCAAATAAGCCCCGGTCCCTAACCCGATCACCCCCGCACCAAGCCCTGGTGATGTGTGTCCGATCCTGTACATTCTCTGCACTGCCCTGGTTCCCACCCAAGTGGTCAGTGTCACCACCAATTCTGCTCCAAAATGGGCCAGGGAAGAAAAGGGGGGTGAAAAAGAGGGGGATCCCGGTGCGGTATTGGTTGAAGACACAAGGTCCCCATTGTGGTACATACCCGTGTCCGGCTAGTCAGAGGGAACGTAGGAGGGCAGTTCCCGTGCGGGGGGAGGACCCGCTGCGCTTATTCTTCAGGCCTTCTAGGCCCACATCTCTGCATGCCTGTAAGTCGGTCTCTCCGTTCGAGCGTTTGGCGAGTTGTCCGACTGGGGGGGTCTATCCAGAATCCAATTGGGGATCCGAACCGCTGGCAGGTTCATCACTCGGAGGAAGCCAGGGACGTTATTCGGCCACAGTATGGAGTGCCATCGGTTGTCTCTTTTGGCCTGCAGGCTGAAGGGGAATCCCCACTTGAATTGAATTCTCCTCCCCTGGAGCATTTGTGTGAGCAGCCTCAGTGCACTGCGGGAATCTAGCGTTAGGACTGACAAGTCTTGGAACAGAGACACCTGATTGTCCATGTACGGCAGGGAGGCTTTTGGTCTGGCCAATTGAATTATGGCTTCTTTTACTTGGATGGATAGTAGGCAACATCTCTGGGTAAGCCATCCCGCCTGGGTGATCTGAGTGCCCTCTGCGCTCTTTCAATGTTAAATTGTGCAGGAGCATCGTCGCCCAGAATGTGTGTGAATAGGTGGGTCAAGACGTAGGGTAGTAATTCGTCCTCACTTTCGGGGTGCCTTCTGGTGCAGATCTCCTCTCTGATTACCGTGCAGCGTTCCATTACCAGGTCCGTCGAGTCACTTCACATCAGCATATTGGCTGAAATTGAGGACAATTCTGCTGAGATCTGTTACTTTTTTTGGCAATATGTTATCTGCTTATAGGATGACATATATGATATCATATGACAACACCACAATGATTGTTGCCTCTGAAGTACTGGACACACTATTGCCACTAGAGAAAATGCATGACTGTGTGGTTCATCTGTCAGCAATGGATGCAGCTAAAATGCTTAAATCATCAAGAAATATAATTAAAGCTTCTCCCACAATCGTTGCACACACACCTTTTTTGTGTGCTGTAAGGTACATTTCTTTTACAGTCTGATTTGTCTGATTTGTCCAAATAACTCTCACTATTTTCACTGCTCTTGTAGACATTGTCGAGTTTGGTCTCAGAAATAGGATATTGGTGTATGTTATCCAATGCAATGCATAATGAGTACTTGATTTTTCATTTTGGTGGCAAACATTTGTGTCTGCCACACTAAGATCAGGAGTAGATTCCACAATTACAGAAAGTCTTGAATTATTCTGTTTTTATAGGTCTTTCTGAGGTATATTTTCTAACTTTCAACTTGATGATAATTGTTGATCTTGTTCAGACATGATGTCACAATCTATTAAAGCAGGGTTTCCCTAACTTTTATGGGCCAAGACCCACTTGCTTTTAATGCATATTTTAAAAATGAACACCATGCCAATCAGCTTTAGAGGCATACATTTGGCACACAATGGCAATAATGTTAAAGGCATACAATTGGCACACTATGGCAATCAATTTTATAAGAGTGGAATTGGCACAGCATGGCAATCAGCTTCAGATGCATACAATTGGCACACCATGGCAATCATTTTTAGAGGCATACAACTGGCACACAATGGCAATCAGCTTTAGCTACATAAAATTGACACACCATGGCAATCAGCTTTACATGCATAAACTTGGCACACCATGGCAATCAGTTTTAGATACGTAAACTTGACACATCATGGCAACTTTAGATGTATAAAATTGGCACACCATGGCAATCGGCTTTAGAGGCATAACATTGGCACACTATGGCAATCAGTTATTGAGGCATATAACCGGAACATAATGGCAGCTATAGATGCATAAACGTGGCACATCATGGCAATCAGTTTTAGATGCATAAACTTGGCATATCATGGCAACTTTAGATGTGTAAAATTGGCACACCATGGCAATCAGATTTAGAAGCGTAAAATTGTCACACCATGGCAATCAGTTTTAGAGGCATACAATTAGCACACCATGGCAATCAGCTTTAGACGCATACAATAGGAACATCATGGCAGCTTTAGATGCATAAAATTGGCACACCTTGGCAATCAGCTTTAGAGGCATACAGTTGGCACACCATGGCAATCAGTTTTAGATGCATAAACTTGGTGCATCATAGCAACTTTAGGTGTATAAAATTGGCAAACCATGACAATCAGCTCTAGAGGCATAAAATTGGCACACCATGGCAATCAGTTATTGAGGCATACAAGTGGAATATCATGGAAGCTTTAGATGCATAAATTTGGCACACCACGGCAATCGGCTTTAGATGCATAAGTTTGGCACACCATGGAAATCAGCTTTAGATGCATAAAATTGTCACACTATGGCAATCACTTTTAGATGCATAAACAACCTCACGTTGTGTATCCCAGAAGTGGAACTAATGTAGAGAGGGAAATTCAATATGTACAGGCGCTCTCTTATCCATAGTGGTGCTAGGTATCAAGTTAGCCCACATTAAATACCATGTACATATACAATAAATGCGTATGATACCACACTCAAAAACTGATATAAAGTAAATATATAATTATTACTCTGCCTATTGAAATTAGTCAGATTTATCACAATCTTTGTGAAAATATACAAATATTGCAAAAAAGTAGATTATCACACAAAACTATATCCTATATGGACACAGCAATGCAAGACCGTGGGTGATATACAAAACATAATTGAATAAAATATCCCCAATGTTATATTGCAATGTAGAAGGCCACTGTGTAAGTGAAACACTGTCTGCAACAAATACACAAAAAGGAAAAATTATTTAAGAAAATAATATTTTAGAGAATTGAAAAAAAATGCAAAAAGGAAAAAGTGGTGAAAAAAAATAAACTAAACTATACACTAAAAATACAAAAACATGCATCCATGTGTGGATGCTCTTGGACAGATCTCACCACCACTGATGTTATAGGAAGTCCTGAATGTTGTTCAATCTCTGGAACGTGGTATGGTGTTTTGACCAGGTTTGTCCAGATGGATGTCCAAATGTGTATCTGGGTGATTGCAGATGTAGGGCTGTCAAGGTGAGTCTCTGGTTTCCATATATCACAGCTATCAATAGGGTTCCTTGGGCTGCGCGCTCGGGACTTGGTCCGTCCCTTCGAAGAGAGAGAGCCCTGGTGCAAGTATGTTTTCTGGGAACCCCTCTAGTGCAAGTGTGGCCAAAGGTACTGCAATCAAATGCAAACATTACATACAAACACACCCCTGTATTAAAACATTAAAATTATATACAAACACCCCTTCATTTAAACACCAACACTACAAACAAAAGCACACCTGTATTTAAAGTCAAATACTACATACAAAGACACCCCTGCATTCAAACGCAAACACTACACACAAAAGGTGGATCCCCATTTGTCGGAGAACTTCAACAATGCTGAGGATCTTCCATTTGCCCATCGTTGCAGGGTTGTATTTGTGAGCAGTGTTTGAGCATAAGCATGTTTTTGTATGAAGAATATGTGTGCATGTATGGGTGTATTTGTATGTACTGTTGCCATTGGAATGTAGTGGTGTACTTGTGTGCAGGGGCGTACCTAGAGCATTTGGCACCTGGGGCGGATCCTGTGGTTGGCACCGCTTTGCCCCCCTCACCCCCACAAAAAAAAAAACCTGTACATTTTTTTAAATGTTTTCTTTTTTTTTACAATTTTTAAACTTTGCAAAACTGCTGTCAGCCCCTCCTACAAAACCCTTGTCCTGCCCCGCCCCCTCCTACAAAACCCCTGTACTGCCCCCTTCTACAAATCCTGTACTGCCCCATCTACAAAACCCCTGCAATCCCTTTCCACAAATCCCCTGCTTATCCCCCCTTATAAAGACTCCTGTCCCAATACCAAAACCCCTGCCCCCTTCTACAAGATCCCTGCAGCCCCACACACACATTTACAGGAAGACAGTCACACACACAGTTACAGGCATACAGTCACACACAGTTACAGGCAGACAGTCACACACAGTTACAGGCAGACAGTCACACGCACACAGTCACATGCAGACAGTCACACATACAGTCACAGACAGTCATGCACACTGTTACAGGCAGACAGTCACATACACACACGGCAGCAGCAGACAGTCACATGCACACAGTCACAGACAGATAGTCTGATGTTACAGGCCACAAACAGTCACAGGCAGACAGTTACACACACAGTCAGTTACAGGTAGTCACACACAGTCATAGCCAGACAGTCACGCACACCATTACAGACAGACAGTCACTCACACACACAGTCACAGGCATAGAGTCACACACACACATACAGGCAGACAGACACACACACACACACACACACACAGTTACAGGCAGACAGTAACACACACACGGTTACAGGCAGACAGTCTCACACACACATACACATACACACAAAGTTACAGTCAGACAGTTACACACACAGTTACAGGAAGACAGTCACACACACAGTTACAGGCAGACAGTTACACACACTGTTACAGACAGACAGTCACATATACAGTCACTCACACACACAGTCACAGGCATAGAGTTACACACACACATACAGGCAGACACACACACACACACAGTTACAGGCAGACAGTTACACACACAGTTACAGGCAGACAGTCTCACACACACACACAGTTACAGGCACACAGTTACACACACAGTTACAGGCAGACAGTCTCACACACACACACACACACACACAGTTACTGGCAGACAGTTACACACACAGTTACAGGCAGACAGTTTTACACACACACACACACACACACACACACACACACACACAGACTAACACTCTTACTTACAGACAGTGGGCTGGAGGAGGACTGGATTCCCTGAAGTCCTATCCTGAAGCCTGTGGAGAAGCAGGGATTCCATCTTGCTGCACCTCCATGTGCAGCAGTAACAGCAGCAGGTAAGGGCTGTATTAAGCCCTGCCCCTGCTGCCAGTTTGGCTCCACCCCTGATTTTGCTTAGCTCCGTCCCCACTCTCATTCCGTGCGGCCAGTTCAGGTGCTCCTTGTGCGTGTGAGCTGTTCTTGCCGCCCGGCACCCTAAATATCATGGGGCACTGTCAGACCGTACAGCTCACACAGCCCCCTCCAGCCCCCAGACCAGGGTCATGGCACCTCCTACCCTGCTGGCACCCAGGGCAGACCTCCCCCTCCTCCCCACCCCCTTAGTACGCCACTGCTTGTGTGTAGTGTTTACGTTTGAATGCAGGGGTGTCTTTGTATGTAGTGTTTGACTTTAAATACAGGTGTGCTTTTGTTTGTAGTGTTGGTGTTTAAATGAAGGGGAGTTTGTATATAATTTTAATGTTTTAATACAGGGGTGTGTTTGTATGTAATGTTTGCGTTTGATTGTAGTGCATGTGCAGTGGATGCACTGTGTGTATATTATGCCCCATGGATCAGTTTTGCACTGGGGCCCATGGATTGAGTATGCCACTGGGTGTGGGTCAGCGGGACCCACTGGGAATCACCCGGCGACCCACACTTTGGGGAAACCTTGTATTAAAGAAAACATATGATGTAAAAATCAAGTTTGATGTTATATAATATTAATATAATTTTGGTTTAAAGCTTACAGTCCATCTTCAGACTGACACCTTGCTGACTGACAATAGTTTTAAGTATCAGTCAGTTTAAAATGCAATCTACTTTGGCTCAATTTTTTGCAACTTTTTAAAAACATAAACATCAGTATTGAACATATGATTTGTTTTCTATATATATATTTTAAAGCTTATTTCACCTGTGTCCCTGCACTAATTGGCCTTTCACCCAAGAGCATTTCTTGCCTATTCCCCACATATCATAATACTCACTACATGGCTCGGTTTAAACATATAAACGGTATTTGGGTAAGGGATGCTGGGGGCATTGGAACATCGATCAAGCATGTTTAGCAGAATACAGCAAACTTTTTCACTAATATTATCCAAAAGAAGCATTTTCGCATAAAACTTTTCAGTTATCTACAAACATCTGGGATCTGCATATTCCGCAACAAATTTATAACACATACAATGAACCTCTACATGCTCGGTAAGAAGATTAAATATTTTTTGAGCGTTGTGATGTTCAAGTGTAAAGTGTAGACACACAAACAGACAGTATAGACAGAAGCAAAACATTGGAGATAAATAATGCTGTCTTGATATATATATATATATTTTCAATTTGACAATTTTTATTTTGATACATATTTACATTTTATCACTCCAATGCACAGTGCATAGAAAGTGCTTTTTCTATTTCTCTTTACGCACAGTTACTACTAATTAAACACCTTGATTTTTTTCACTTTGTTTCAGATGTAAGCATTTGTTTATAGTGATTTTTGCTGTTTTTTTATGAAAAATATAAACTTATTTCAATCAGTTTTAAAAAAAAATAAAACAAAACATAATGAAATGCAGTTATGCTTCATAGAGTAGATTAGAGAATAGGAAAAAGATGGAATATTATTTATCAAACCATAACAATATTGCCTTGAAAGGACGATCATTAAAGAGTGTTTTATGTTTAAAGTGACAAAAACAATTCATTGTGTAATAAGTAGTTGAGACGTTTGTGAATCCCAAGTTACACATTTATTGAATTGTAAGAATTTTTTCTATACAAAACATGATAAGAATAAATATTTTTACATGCATGTCTGACATACTTGCCAACATTCCCAAATACATCTGTACAGCCATGATCTTATCCTGTCATACAGAACATAATCAGCACAATTAGATACACTCAAGCTGTAATAGACAATAATACGTGTATTTAAACTCATATGCAAGAGTCACCGTATCACTAGCCGTGTTTGGCTGCCTAGGTCAGGGGAAATAATGGATGCCATGATAATACTGCCCCATTGAAATCAAACACATCACCACTGATACAAAATGTTATCCACACCACCCTAACTCCCCCTCTTCTCCTGACATCATACTTGCCAAAGTTGGCAAGTAAGACAAGTCACTGAGCAGCTTCTAGCCAACGTAATAACCAATGTTTTCATGTTTTTGTACAGTTTTCACTGTGGTGATGATATTCATATTACTTTTATTATGAGCTTGGTTAAAAATAAAAAAAAAAGTATGTTTTACATATGGTGTATTCATTAATTAATTCCCAAATCCAGATTATTTCACATCACGTGAACCCGTTGAAGCAGTAGAAATAAATGTATTTTGTAATATTACAGTTGGGCAGACAGAGGTCAGATGGCAGGGTATCACATGAGTATTGTAGTACAATGGCAAGATGGAGTGATTTAAAAAGAGCAATATGTTTTGGTCAAAATGTGACCAAAAAGAACCACATTAGGGAATGTGTATAAAAGTATATCTATGAGAAAAGTAGTGAAATTGTGATGCAATTAAATTATGTGGTTTATATATAAAAAAAATCCCTAGAGGAATGCACAATTTGTACAAGGTTTGGCAAAATAGTAAATTTATCTAATTATAATTTTGTGGCCGATTAAAATTCAGTGCAAAAGTGTGTTACTTTTGTTGACTTTACTTCACCATTTTGTACCTAGCATTATCTGCACTGTAAGAGACGTCTCAAATATACGAATAAAACGGTAGCAATGTGTCCCTTTTTTCTCATGTGCAAAGCCCACTTAGAGATCTTTATACATTCCGTTTAGGCGTATGGTTAAAATATGAGCAAATAAATCTTGCAGTGTGTTAAAGATTGCATTCCATTGTATACCTAACCTCTTTACTGCTTTTTAAGGTGTAGCACACATCTTGCTTCCTGCAAACCTTTGAACATTATATTGTAACAAAAAAACTATAGACAGCCACACAGATCTATTTTATATCAGGTTTGTGTGCAACGTAAATACATTTGGGAATGTTTATAAGACTTTATTCTACCACATATTTTGTGAGATTAATTTTCTAACCAGAAGTCATCAGATTTTCCAAAACATCTGCTACCTCTTGATCCACGCTTACCATCTCACCCATTCAAGTAGTAATGAACCAGCACATTCCTTTACTCTTTCAATTTCAAAATATAGCAAGGGTGTAAGGGAATAATCCTGTAAAAGAAATGTCATTCATCAAATTCCATCCAATATACTACACTTAGATTTTTAAGATGTGTACTCCAAACAAACCAACCCTGACACTCATTGAAGGTGTATTTAATACTTGATAACAAATATATTTCTGATTGTTTAGTAAAACCATCTTTCTGTTGTAAGAAGAAAAAAAATATTCCTTTAACATCACTGATCCAGGGAGAGGTCCAGTTTACAAACTGGAGCTATATAAATCAATCTGAACACAGGGATTGGAATTAGGCAACTCAATCTATGCACCATGAACTATGCTATGATACAAAGTTTTTCCGACACTTAAAGTGACCCTATCATTTATTTTCTTCCTAGGATTTACTTGTTGATGTGTAAAATCAATTGTAATTAACAATACTGTACCGGAAATCACATTAAATAAGAAAGATAATTTGACAAGCCCACAGCAACAAATTATGACTGAAGAAAACCAGACCTCGGTTAAAGAAATATTTCTACTGGGATTTAAAGTACTTTACAACTTTAAGATCCCTTACTTCCTTCTGTTCCTTGTGCTATACACCATGACGTTGACTGGAAATCTCATGATTGTAACACTGGTGACAGTGAGTCCAAACTTGAGACATCCAATGTTTTTCTTCCTTGGTCATCTCTCGCTAACCGATATCATACTGACCACAAATATTGTCCCCAACATGCTATGCATCATACTAAATGGTGGGAAAAGAATGTCTCTACGAGCCTGTATAGTCCAGCTTCAATTCTTTGGACTTTCCTTGGGTACAGAATGTCTTCTTCTTACAGTGATGTCCTACGACCGTTATCTGGCTATCTGCAGTCCATTGCATTATACCACGATTATGAGCAACAAACTTCGTCCTCAGCTTGCAGTTTCTTGTTGGCTGTTGGGTTTTATAATTTCCTTTATAACTGTGATACTAGTGAGTCAGTTAAATTTCTGTGGATCAAACATTATTGATCATTTTTTCTGTGATTTACTTCCATTTCTGCAACTTTCTTGCTCAGACACCTTCATAGTGAGGTTAGAGAACATTTTACTGGGAACTCCAATAACGTTGTTTCCGGCGATAATCATCACTATAACGTATGTCTGCATTTTTATGGCTATTCTCAAAATACCATCAACGTCCGGGAGACAAAAAACATTCTCCACCTGCAGCTCCCACTTGGCTGTTGTAATTACTTTCTATGGGACACTGGTCACGCTCTATGTGATTCCTTCTAGTGGACATTCATTAAATGCAAACAAAGTTCTCTCCTTGATTTATACTGTGGGGACTCCGTTATTTAATCCTATTATTTATAGTCTGAGGAACAAAGAAATAAGGGTGGCATTTAAAAGATATATATATTTAATTAACAGAGAGAAAAGAAATCAATGTATGTAATGTTATTATTAACAGATTAAATTTGGGCGAAGAGCTGATTATCACATTCAAGCAACTGGCTTTAATAATTTTGTTTTCACCAATTTAGGTGAATAAATGGATGGCAATACCATTTATTTTTGAATCTACATGGTTATTATTATTATTATTTTTTTTATTATTTATATAGTGCCTAAAATTCTGTAGCGCTGTACATTGGGCGGACTAACAGACACGTAATTGTAACCGGACAAATGGAACCGCACAGGAACAGAGGGGTTGAGGGCCCTGCTCAATGAGCTTACATGCTAGAGGTCACAATATTTGGCACTCAAACCTGGTCCGACACCCATATTGGCTACTGAACAATAAATCTACCACCGTATCCATCTTGGTAAAGCGTTTCACACTGGTAAAAGCTTGAACGCTGGAATCACACAGCAAAAGATAAATTATGGACTATAGCCTGTGATATACAAGGTGTTTTTGGCACAGTCTTGTGGATTCAGCTGCATTTGTGGGAGTCAGCATTATCTGGAATAAAGAAAAATTTTCACACTTATAGGAATATTGTGTTTTATTTCATTAGTCCAGCACCTGGATGATGGTAGAAATTGATTTCATATAGGAAACCTCTCTTTTTAATAAGGTCTGTTACTTTTTTTGGCAATAAGTTATCTGCTTATAGGATGACATATAGGATATCATATGACAACACCACAATGATTGTCGCCTCTGAAGTACAGTAGACACTATTGCCACTAGAGAAAATGCATGACTGTGTGGTTCCTCTGTCAGCAATGGATGCAGCTAAAATGCTTAAATCATTATTAAGGTTGCCGAATTCATATAGCTATCTAGGGTAAAGCATCTAAATTTAAAGAATCAGAAAATAAGTGGTCTCAGCAAAAGAAACGGAATGTCAGGGTAAATCTGTTAAATATATTGTAAAGTATATCTTTATTCAGTCTACTTTGCCATTTTTTTCTTATAATGTTACAATATGTACAATACGTAACATTCTTAAATATGGTTCCACATTATTTCAACATGCAGATCCGTGTGCTTGACAGTCAAGTGTTATTTTCACATTGAAATTATAGTTTGCTTTGTCCGGGTATGAATTTTCTGATGTGTAACAAGGTGTTCCTTACGGGTAAAACCTTTGCCACATTCAGAGCAAGCAAATGGACGTTCTCCTGTGTGTATAGCTTGATGTCTAACCAGATATGAATTATGAGTAAAGCTCTTCCTGCATTCATTGCAAGAATACGGTCTCTCCCCTGTGTGTGATCTCTGGTGCACCTTGAGTTTCGAGATACAAGTGAACCCTTTCTCACACAAAACACACATGTATGCCCACTCTCCTGTGTGAGTCGCTTGGTGTTTATGAAGTATTGAGTTATCGACAAAACACTTTCCGCATTCGCCACAAACATATGGCTTTTCTCCCGTGTGTGTTCTGTGATGAGTGACAAGAGCGGATGTGCAAGAAAAGGTCTTCCCACACTGGCTACATTCATAGGGTTTCTCTCCCGTGTGAGTTCTGTTATGAATAAACAGAGAAGAGTTACTGGTGAAGCTTTTACCGCATTCCCAGCATACATAAGGTCTCTCTCCTGTATGGATTCTTATGTGAGTAGAGAGAGTGGCTCGGCTTGTGAACCCCTTCATGCAGTGCGTACACTTGTAAGGTTTCTCCCCTGTGTGGATTCTCTCATGTATTACAAGACAGGACTTTCTGCCAAAGTTTTTTCCACATTCAGGACATGAAAAGGGCCTCTCTCCAGTGTGAGATCTTTGGTGTGTAATTAGATGTGAAATATAATTAAAGCGTCTTCCACAATCATTGCACACACACCTTTTGTAAGGTACATTTCTTTTACAGTCTGATTCGTCCAAAGAACTCTCACTACTTTCACTGCTCTTGTAGACATTGTCGAGTTTGGTCTTGGAAATAGGGCATTGGTGTATGTTTACCTTGTTATCCAATGCATAATGACTCCTTGAGCTTTCATGTTGGTGGCAAACATTTGTGTCTGCCACTCTGAGATCAGGAGTAGATTCCACAATCACAGAAAGTCTTACATTTTGGTTTTTACGCTCTTTCTGAGGTATATTGTCCAACTTCAGACTTGATGATAATTGTTGATCATGTTCAGACATGATGTCACAATCTATTAAAGAAAAACATGTAATGTAAAAATCTAAATTTGATGTAATATAATGTTGGTATAATTTTGGTTTAAAGGTTAAAGTCAATTTTCAGACTGACACCTTGCTTAGTGACATTAGTTTTTTTTTTTTTATAATTCTTTATTTTTCAGTGCAAAACATAGTCGTTACAACATTTGTTAAAAGGAGGCCAGATCGTAGCACATTCTTGCACTATTTTATTTTTCTAACATGTTTGTGTAGGCCTTGATCGCTATCGTGTCATCCCTCTATTCTGAGGTGGTTGAGTGTGGTATGTGCTAGCTGATCTATGGGTGAGAGTCGGTGTGCTGTGGTTGCTCGTTGAGGGTCCTATGGCTTGTTCATTCAGCCTGTGGGCTGGTAGTGTAGCGTGGTATGTAGCCTCTTCAGTACAAGGCATACAGGCTGTGTTGTTTGGGTCCCGGGGAGGTGTTGGGTGTGTGAGATATGCCTTGTTACGTTTGTAGTGGCTCCTGACCATGGGAGCTGCGGGGGGGGGGTGGTGGATGCGTGAGTTGTTTGGCGGTTGCCTCGTGTGTGAGTGTGGAGGGATGCTGTTGCTCCCCGTTATGGGGGGTAGAGCATTGGTTGTGTCCCCAACCTTAGGTGTGATTACCTGTGTGACTGTGGATGTGGTCCCTAAACAATTGTTTGGTCCCTGGTATAGGGTATGGGGGAGGGGGGGAGAAACTGGGAGAACATTGGGGTATATATATAATGTCCTGAGCAGATAGTCCCGTGGTGAGCGTATAGACCGACTGGTATGGCTGGCTGGACTTTAGTCGGTCTGTTGTCTTAGGTTGGGTCCTCGCTGGTGCTTGTTCCTGGATCTGCCGTCCTCTCTTTCCCCCTTCTTGGGATGAAGGTTGTTGCCTGCGTCGGGTCCCAGCTTGACGTTGAGGTGGAGGCACTCTGTCGTGCAGTGTCCGGCAGCTGTGCCAGTCCCAGGGCCGTCAGGAATGGTGCAGTGTCTTCCATAGAGGTGAGTGTGTGTACGCCATCGTTTCTGGATACCATCAGGGATCCGTTTGCTCCCCATCTATAGCTTATTTTAGCTGATTGAAGCTGGCTGGTTACCGGTTGGAACGTTTTTCGCCACAGGAGGGTGGTTTTACTGAGATCTTGGTAAAACGTCAGAGACGCTTCTTCGAATTGCAAGGGAGTTTTGCCCTTAAGTGCTGACATTATGAGTATTTTATCGTGTGTTGAGGAGCACCTTAATATCACATCTCTTGGTGCCGTTGTCGTCATCCCCTTGGGTCCTGGTAGGCGGAAGATTTCTTCCAAATTAATTTTTTTGGCTACCGTGGGGGACAGGAGGGTGGTTAGCAACCGTCTGGCATAATGGGGGAGCTCGTCCGCCGCCACTGCGGTTGGGACGCCCCTTATCTTCACATTAGTACGGCGGTGGCGATCCTCCATTGCTGTGATGTGTGAGGTGACAGCTCTTTGGTGAGCCCATAGTTGTTGGACCGAGGTCTGGAGGTCTTGTACCTCTGTCTGGACGTCTGCTATGTCCCTCTCCGAGGCCTGTACTCGGTCTGTGATGGCCTTCATGTTAGTTTTAATAGGAGCTAATTCAGCTGCAAGTATTTTATGAAAGTCCATCAATAGTACTTTCAGGTCTTGTCTGGTCGTTGGTGTGGTGTCAGTGGGAGCATCTGATGGCTGCAGGTAAGTGTCCGCCGGCCTCTCTGCCCTTGCTTGCTCAATTGGGTTTGAATGGGCTTCAGGCCTTGTACCAGTGACCTGCCGTGCGGGCTCTGCGGGTGTGGGTTGGGGTTGCATGGGCCTCTGGAACATCGTTCCGATGTCTCTGTGCTCCACAGCCGCCGTCTTTTGCGAGCGGCGACCCATCGCTGGCGTGTGGGGTGAGGCCTCTTGTGGTGCTTGGAGAGGGCTCCCGTCGTTCGCCTGTTGCCGGAGGAGTGCTTCCAGGCTTGGCAGGGACAACGTGGGGTAGGCCCCGGTTTTCCGTTTTCGTCCGGGCTGGGCCTTTGGTTGAAAAAAAGGCATCTATCGCCTTGGGTGGTATTGGGGGACGTGACTGTCGGGTTTTGGGGTCCGTCTGGGCTTTAATTTTGGGGTTTTTGGGGGATTTTGCGCTGTAATTTGGAGGAGCTTGCATGCGTGGCGTCTGTTCAGGCTGGTGGTTGAGCTCCGCCCCCCAGTGACATTAGTTTTAAATATCAAATAGTTTATAATGCAATCTAGTTTGGCTAATTTAATTTTTTTTTTTTTTGCAATTTTGTTTAAAATAAATATCAGTATTGGACATATCATTTTTTTTGTCAAGACTGCACTTGGACTGTAGAAAAAGACAGACGGGTAAGAGGTGTTTGCAGGAGAGATTCTACTCATTGCTCCTCCTCCCCAAATTAAATTCCCTTCTTAGTATTTAAATGCCTAATCTAATGGACAGTGGAAAAGAATTTAAAAAACTAAATTAAATCCCCCCTTCAACATTTATGATTGTGCAAACCATATTGACACTGACACAAGAGCACTTACACAGCCGTAAACAAGCTACTTTTGAAAGAGGGACACAGTCCTAACCAGACTAGCGTAGACAGACGCTCCTTGACCCCAACAAACACAGAAAAGTGAACTGGTGGCAACAAGAGTACTTACTTAGTTCTAGAACTAAGCCTCAATTATTGTGTCCTGGCTGGCTCCTTAAGGCGATTGTAGGTGTAAATCAATATGCTTTACAAGGATGTAAAATGCTGTAATGCCTTTGCTTGATTCAATGATATTGTTCCCTTACCCTTTTTTTTTCTGTATCCCTTAAGGACACAACTTCCGGAATAAAAGGGAATCATGACGGAATATTTCCGTCATGTGTCCTTAAGGGGTTAAACATGAAAATATTTCCAATAAAAAACAATATAAAAAAAATGTTAAAAATAAAATAAAGACTAGAAGCAATTCTGAACAGGCAAATGTGAGAGGATGTTTTGAGCTCTGGTCTAGAATGGATGTGGCAGCTGCGCATGATACTACGGGCGCTCCCTCTTGCAAATGATGATGTCAATGTGGCATATCACTCATAAAAGGAAGGTGAGATATGGGAAAGAATGGGACACGCATGCCTCCTGATTACCAAATGCCAGGAACAGAATCTGCAGACCAAGGGGTGGTGGGCTTGCCATATCCATATTAATTGTATTATAATACATATTTAAACATATTGTGATAAAGTGAAGGCAGATAGGCCTTTTAACCCCAGGGGAAGTACGTGTAGTTTTTGTGTTGCACAACACAAAGCTTTGTTTAGTTATGGGCCCCTGGGGTGGAGCATTTGGAGAGAAGGGTGGGCCAATGCTCCACTCCACAATTTAGTGGTTTTCTGGGGAGACATAGATCCAGGCCAGGGTTTTTTGGACCGTCTCCAACCCACTGCTCAGCTGCAGTTAATGAGCTGTTGCAGTGGGAATAAACCCCTCCCTACTAGGCAGGTAAAAGAGAGGGATTGCTGGCTTCCTCCAAGGAAGCAGGTAGGAGAGAGGCTGTTCTCTCCAGATAGAGAGTCAAGGAGACTAGGCACTGCGAGTGCAGAAAGGAAGTAGTCAAGGCTGGCTTGGAGCACTGGGAGTGGAGAAAGAAAAGCAACAGGCTAGCTAGCAGCGTGTTGCTATCTAATAAGGTTGGTGCAGTATGTTTTGTTAGTTTAACCCTGATAGAGAGGGTTATTCAAGGTGAGTCAGTGCTCAGACGAGCTAGGTTTTTGTTTAAAGGGAAACCTGTTATATTTATGTTTTCATTTGCTGCTGCCTCATATGTAAACTTACAAATAAAGTGCCTGGAATGAAGCTGCATTAAAAGACTGTGCATGTTTTTGCCCTAGAGGACCGTGCTACCTGCTGACAAGGATCACAATATGCAATGATGACCTAACTCTAGTGCTCTTTAACTCACCCACTTATATAATACAATGCAGAAACAAAAGCAATTATGGGCATTTTAGCGAATAAGGAGACTTATGTCAGACATGCTTGCAGAGAGCTCCAAAATAAATGCAGCATTATATTGGCAAATATATGCCACAATCCCAACAAAAGCAGCCTAGCTCAGCAAAACAACAGTGCTGAACCAAGTAGAGACCCGTGGACACCCGCCTCGTGAAATTCTGGAGTGAACGCTCCACACTACACATATGAGGCCTAACATGGAAAGTGGCCCAGTGGCCGGGAAAGGGGACCAAGGGGAAAGCAGCAGCTCTCCTGATGACCCGCAAATCCCCCCCCATCTGGACCGGTGGGGGTTATCCCGGTCCCCGCTGGGGAAACCAACAGGCTTACATCTTTAAATCCCTCGGCCGAAATGCAGACCGCATGTCGGGCCCAAGATGGCTGCCGAGGACCAACCCTTGCAATCACAAGAAAGCCCAGTGACAGAGGTGTGGAGACAGTGCTTTGAAGCTCAGTTTTACCGCATCTGCCGAGATTCTGGAGGCGTGCAGAGCATAATGCCACCCACCTCGTTATACCTACCACACAGGAGACTGGAGCTGAAACGGCGGCTTATCAACTGAGTGCTCACATGAAGAAGTGACCATCTAGCCGATGGGCCCGACAGCGTATGGGCCCCATGCACCGAAATGCGGAGCAGCACAATACCACCAAACACGCACCTTACCACCTCGCAGCTGCTTCCCTGCATGGCACACACAAGGGAGCTGACTCCAAGCTGGCATGCCGCTCAAACGGAGAGCTCACATATGGCTCTACAACTCACGGGCACTGAGACAGCCTGGAGGCCATGACCCAGTTACTGAACTATGTGGCGGAGCGGTCAGTGAAGTACAAGCCCTCATGAGACTTGGGACCGGTGGTGCTCTCACCTACAGCAAGACGAACTCAGGTTTCTCAGATTTGGCAGGCTGCCACTAGTGGGCATTGGTTGAGCCGCCTGAGGCTATGGCTACAGGCCGTTTAGTTCACAGCTTACCCCCAATATTCAGTTTGCCTGACCTGCTACCCAGAGGTACCCATTGAAACCGAACTTAAGCCTCTAAGCCAGCCAACATGCATATACGTAATATGTACCATGTTATTTAGCAATGTTTGTCCCCAGTCTCATGAGGGCTACCTCCCGTTGCCGTGAACTTATTATTTTATGCTCTTTGTGTATATTACCTAACCTAGCATGTCTCCTAGCAAAACAACTCACCTTTATACGTTTGCACCTAGTCTGCATCATAATTTTCAGCTAGATAGACCTAACTAGAAATCTTACTACCCTGTTTATCTCTTGTTCATAATATAAAAGAATTGTAAAAATTGTGCATGCCTTATCTAATGCTATGCTAAGCCTGAGGATTGCCATTGGCGTACTTTGAGAGGGTAAATGTGGCGTTCAATGTCTTACTCTGTCTGCTGGCTGATCATTATTTGAGGTGTCATCAATAACAGACAGTAAACAAAAATGGTGCTCAATGAGTACAGAAGGTTTAAAACATGGAACTTAGGTTAAAGTGGGAAGAGATGGCAAGGAATCACCACAAAATACATTGACAGAAAGAGAACGACAGAAAGAGAACGACCCCTTAATTAAATTCTATTAGGGAAGAGGAGCTACAAGCAGAATTGGGGGAGTGAATGTATCAAGGAAAAGCCATAAACTGTAGAGATGGATGCAAAAAAAAAAAGTGTGAGCAAGGACAGCTGGAAAGTGTACAGGGACAACAGGAAGAACAATGAACTGCAAGGGAAAATCACAGAGCAGAAGGACAAACAAAGAAGGTCCTTTTAGTTCACAATAAGCTTCATTTCTGAAAAGTGTTGCTCGTTTGAAACAAAAAATTTGAAACATAATAAAGTCCCAGAGGAAAGAGGGAATATTACTTGCTACACTACATACATCCAAAAATGTTACTTGACATATGTGCCAGACTCTTCTTGGTCTCTTCTGACTGGTCAAAATCAGCACTGAATGACATGAAGTCTGCCACACTCTGCAAGATTCAGACAGTAGACTGTAAATGGTACTAGAAGCAGGCCAGAACATCTCCTACTACAACTAAAGGTGTGTATTCAAATCACAGGATTTTCTGTGGAGACCTAGACCTGGAGATATCTTGCAGGAACTCTCACTCCGGTTAATGTATGTATGTTTTTGCGAGGTGTTCCTGTTTAATTGTTCAGTTCATTTATACACGTATTTCAGGAAGGAAGTTAAGTACTTACCAGGACTACTTCGGCCTTTTGAGTCGTCCATTACCATTTCTTCTTTTGGGACAATCTTATGTTCCACAATGAGATCGCTTTGAATTCAGTAGTAAAGACTGTGGTTTCAACATTGAAAACATTTTTCTGAGTACAGATAATATTAGTTTCTGCAGAAAGATAAAATACTATTTTTTTATTTTTTTTATAGGGATGCAAAAAAAGAGACCCACCTTCACCTTTCGTTCATGGGACAATATTGACTTATTGTTCATTGTGTGTATATGTATTTGTAGTAAACGTATATACCACTGGATGTAAAACTGATTGATAATCAGAAACTAAGTATGATGTTATATGTTTTAATGTCTTTTTGAAAAATAGAAAAAATTCTAGTCAAAATCATTAAAATGTATGCATATATTATCCATTTAATTCTTTAACAAATGTATGGTTAATAAATGACTATTGTGTCTTTTTGAAAAGGGTGAGGATCAACACTAACCTGGAACAATGACGCATGTTACTGGTTAAGAGAACGCAACAGCGTCTGTCAGAGAATGGCAGAAGTGTCCACATTGAACCTGGAAGATACATTTAAGTAACAAGCAACTGTGATTTTGTCGGAATATCTTTTTGAAGAATGAGATAATGTTCTCATTCAGTGTTTAGTAACTTAGATCAGAGTTTGAAATAATTTCAATTATTAGATAATTCTCCAAACAAGGTGTCTAACTCTTATCTCAAGAAAGCTAGCTTTCACAACATAACCATTACTACATTATTTACCAGTACTACTATAATCTTCTGAACGACTGTTTTCTAAATTGCCCTTGCCATTTCTCTCAGATTGACACTTTGCCATCTATTCCTTTGGTACAGCCTTATGATATAGATATATATAATATACATACACACCTATATAAAAATACTGCTCCTTTTGGTTACTGGTCCTTTTGGATCATAACCCATGCTTTGTTCAACGCATTGCTTTCAACAATGTATGGTTGTTAAACGTACCTGCAGAAATACAGGGTGAAGTTAAGCTAGGAATTCTGGTATTGTTGTGAAAACATTATTCCTCAGAAATTCTCTGCCCACGAGCAAGACTTCTCAAAATTCGATTTGAGACCTGTAGGTGACGCACAATGGTAATTTTTCTATCTGTGTTTTGGGAGTTTTATTGTATTTGCTCACACCACAAATAATATATATTTATTTTTGTCACCTAGTTATATATATGTGTGTGGGCACTAAGGCTGTATCATAGAAGGGAGTAATTAAAACATGGTTAACATAGCACAGGAGTACATAAAAGTCGGTTGTCGTGTGCCAAAACCGACTTACAGGTAGGCCTGTAAAATAAAGAGGGCCCACCTATAAAGGTGTATTGAAAAAAAAGGTGTATCGGAAGAAGAGGGAGGGGAATGTAAATTGTTGACTAACGGTTATGGGGAATGAGGGGGAGTCCCTTCAAAAAGGGTAACAAGCCCCTCCCACAACTCCAAGCTATGCCTTCACATTCGTGTTCGGTGCACTAAGGCTGTATCGTAGAAAAGAGTAATTATTAAAACATGCTTAACGTAACACAGGGGTATATGAAAGTCGGTTGTGGTGTGCCGAAACCGACTTACCAGTAGGCCTATAAAATAAAGGTGAAAAGAGAGAGAATACTATTCATATATTTATTTTTTGTGTTTTACCCTTTTGCAACACGCTCCCTTGATAAAGGCATTTTTCTGCCGAAACGTTGGGGGCTTGCTGGTTTAGTTTTCCCCTCTTTTCACTATTTCTGATATGAATTGGTTTGTTTTGTATGTGTTATATGTTGGGTTGTTATGTCCTGGTCTCTTTATGTCCTAGTAGTTATTCTGTTTCTTATGAACCTGTTTGTTATCATTCCTGCTTGGATGTAATTGCAGAATTTTGTGCATTTCTTTGTATTATTATCATGTGATTTATGCTTTGATGATCTGATATGCATTTTGAGATACCTGCTTTTTGTGGACCTATTTAATAAAGTGTCATTTAATTTTTACGGTTGTGCTCCTCATTGAGTAGTATTAATAATATCCCCAAACCCTGGTAATGCACATAGTACAATCAAAACCAATCATAATAGCATATCTATATATTGAATATGAGAGAATATAATTAAAGTAATGTAAAACAATTTAAAAGTTACCTAAGTTGTAATAATCATTAAAACCACTAGAGGGCACCCATGATAATAAAACCGAGTACATTTCTAACTGTGTGTATACAATATAATGCAAATAGTATTACATTCTACCTAGCAAATGACAGTGTAGTGTTGCTTAATGGCTTGGCCGAACGAGTGTCAAAATAACCTACTAATGAATTATTGTGTATAGAAGTTGTATGAATTTCGAAAAAACATGCAAGCAAATATATTACATGAACTAACAATGTGTTAGTGCGAATTATCATTATTATTTCCCATTTATATAGCGCCAACAGATTCCGTAGCGCTTTACAATTTTATGAGAGGGGAGATTGAATGATACCGAATGCTCGATATGCCCATAGAGCATTCATGCTACTGCAAGCTAATGTGTAATGCAGAGCATTCATGTGAATGTAAACAAATGCTCCACATGAACCAAACAGCGTGGCAGTGCAAATGGAACGCTCAACACTCTACTTGGAATAGCAGTATGTTCATGCAAACATGACTTAGTTTTTTTTCCTAAGTCTGGCAAAATAGAGTCTGTGTGCATGCACCTGGTGTTGTGAGACAGCCGGAAGCCTTTTACTGACAATTCTGACGGAAATAAGGGAAGCCTCGATGGACCATGAATTGAAGTCAGCGGCCCTAGTTATCAGAGTCTGGAGTACCACTTTCCAGTACTCCAAAGTTAGGAGGTATGGTGTGAGACTTCCTTACTCATAGTGCAAATTTGAGATTTCTGTGGGAAAAGCAAGTGTTGTTGCAGATCTGTATTTAAGAATGTATTGACTATCTACTTACTTTAGGTGGAAGGGATTTTGAATCCCTTTTTTTCCCCACCATTATTTTCTTGGTGTATATATATATATATATATATATATATTATATTACACTCTGAATTTCTGTGCCCAAGTGGTGGACTTCCTAAAGTTAAACTGGAGATATGCAGGTGAAGCACTCCAGTATTTTTTTTTTTTTATCTGCTTCAAATTATGAGTAGCCTTATCATGTTTGGTCTCATCACACATTATTTGGCACCGCAACCTATATTTGTGTTCGGGGCAACATCGATCATGATTGAAGTAAGATTGTTGTTAGTAAAACCTGTGATAGGAAAAGTCGGTTGAGGTGTGCCAAAACCGACATATGCTGTAGGCCAGTGAATAAAGTGAGTGTAACGGATCACCTGGCACCCCGACTGGGTACCTCCATTGAAGGATGCTCCTAGCGCTTCCTGAGGACTCCAGCCGACACCATAACCACCGTAGACTCCTCCAGAGAGCAAGGCAGGAACAAACTCTTACAAGAACTTAGGAGTGATTATAGCAAGGGAATATGCAGAGCATAGCAATCCCTTGTAGCAGATTCCCCCAATAAGAGACGGCACTCCAAATTGAGGGTGAAGTAGAACTGACTGTACTGGCACATAAAGCCTCTTTTATTCACATTTTACTAACATAGTACTGCCCACAGGGTTTTGCAGAACAAACAATCAATACGTACAATACACTCAGACACTCCCACACAAAATCCTCCCCTCTGCAGGAAAATATACAGTTTTACACAATATTCATAACTCTAAAAGTATACATCACACTCACATTACAGTTTCAGAATCAGCATACTCCAAATACAAACATACGTCAAAATCATACAAATTGGTCCAGTGTGTCAAAAGTTAGTTGGTAGTCCCCTTGTGACCGTCTGCAAGCATGGCTTGGGTGTGGTAAGCCAATTACCTCCAGCATACAGAAAATAGCTCTATTCACAACAACAGTAAAAACACCTAAAAATACATAATTCCTATTATACTTAACAGAACCCCCACATTCAACCTATCCCCAGATAGCTTGGATCTGAGCGCTCACTATATCCGAACAGGGCTCAGATAACACAAATACAGTCAAATCTCCATGGGGTTAAAACATAGCAAGAGCTGATGAGAAACCGAGGAGGGGCAAAACAGCAAGTTCCAACTGGTCTGGCAGTGTGCCTGGGACAATGCCCTGCTGGAACAATCTACAGGAAACGGGGGTGGGGAAGAGACATCTTCCCATGGATTCAAATGGGCAGAAACAGTCTTTTAGAAGCCAATAAGCCCCAAATAGTCTTTTTAAATGGCAATACACCCCAGGGCCATAGTCATGAGGGAGGAGGCTGGCAATCAGGCTCCTCCAACAACAAGGGGGAAAGGGCAGTTGGTCATAAAAAAATCCAGTGCCAAAAGTCATTTTGTCACAGTGAGCCTACACTAGAAGAGTATGGTGCATAAAGGGAGTGGAGGGTGAGGCAGCAGCTCGTCAGACCAATTACGGTAAGGTGGGGAAGGGGGGAGTCCCTTTTAAAGGTCCATATGCCCCTCCCACAACTCCAAGCACAGCTTTCCTAAATATCTAGCTAAATATATATCTTAGAGATGAAAGTGGAACTGTCACTTCTCTTTTCTTTTCTACTTCTTAAAAGCGACAGGTCATCATCCTTTATCTCAGCAAACACTATTGAATTGCTAACTGGAGTGGGTACCATAGTAGAAGTAAAAACAAAAACATACTTACATCATCAGAACTTCAGTGTCTAGAGAACGTTATCATCCCGTGATGCTGCAGGGACGTCATATGAGTTCAGGCATCTGTAGAGAAAGAACATGTGAGCATTCCTTCCACAGTTCCACACATATAGGCAGGCACCCCAGAAAAAGTATACATTTGTGTAAAAAAATACTAAAAACACCTCTAAAGTCACCCAGACCACCTCATCTCAAAAGGTCCTATCATATTTACCCTGCAATGTAAAACATTGTTTTGGGACGCTTCCTTCTCCAGAACCAAGTTTTGCTGCACATATGTTATTGTCTCCAGTGTTTGTCTATGAGAAGCATTGAATTGGACAAGATCCCGAAAGACGTTAGCAGGAATGTTGGCGTTTTTGGAGGTTGAGAGAGGGGCTGCTACAAAGGAATCTTGGCGCTGGAAAAAAGGTGAGTAAATTTAATTTCATATTAATTTTACAGAGAAAAGGGGGTGGACAGTGATCACACTGCTAGAAAGGAATCGATAGTCCCCCCAAAATATTATTGTTATTTTTGGGACTATAGATTCCCTTGAATAGTTCATACTTTTTTATTTGTCAATCTGAAAATGAATTGATAAATAATCACTTAAATTACCTAGAAAAAACTATAATATAAAGCATAATAACACCACATTCTCGCTCTATGCAACACGAGATATAGAAATTCAAAAAGGGTTCAAAATCCTTGCCTGGAAATTATAGACCTGTGAGCTTAACGTCTGTGGCTGGTAAAATATTTGAAAGGTTATTAAGGGATAATATTCAAGAATTCCTTGAGAAGAACATGGTTATCAGCAAAAATCAACACGGTTTTATGAAGCACAGGTCATGTCAAACTAACTTGATTGCGTTCTACGAAGAAGTAAGTAGAAGTATAGATCAGGGTGTTGCCGTGGATGTGATCTATTTGGATTTTGCCAAGGCATTTGATACAGTTCCACACAATAGATTAGTGTTCAAACTCAAGGAAATCGGTCTAGATGAAAATGCTTGTTCTTGGGTAGAACAATGGCTTAAAAACAGAGTACAAAGAGTTGTCATTAATGGTAAATTTTCAAGCTGGACAGAGGTGGCAAGTGGTGTCCCTCAGGGGTCTGTTCTAGGACCCCTTCTATTTAACATGTTTATAAATGATCTTGAAGACAGCATTGAAAGTCATGTTTCAGTGTTTGCAGATGACACAAAACTTTGTAAAATAATACAATGTGAGCAAGATATTACTTTGTTGCAGAGGGATTTAGATAGACTGGGGGACTGGGCACTCAAATGGCAGATGAAATTTAATGTTGAAAAATGTAAAGTTATGCACTTCGGCGTAAAGAATACACAAGCAAAGTATACCCTTAATGGAAGCGAATTAGGGATAACAACACACGAAAAGGACTTGGGAATTGTTATAGACAACAAACTATGCAACCATGTGCAATGTCAATCAGCAGTGGCCAAGGCCAGTAAGGTATTGTCATGCATGAAAAAGGGCATTCATTCTCGGCACGAGAATATAATTTTGCCTCTTTATAAATCACTGGTAAGACCACATATTGAATATGCTGTGCAATTTTGGGAACCTGTTCTAAAGAAGGATATTATGGCACTAGAAAAAGTGCAGAGGCGGGGTACAAAATTAATAAAAGGAATGGAACATATCAGCTATGAAGAAAGGTTAACAAATTTAAACCTATTTAGTTTAGAAAAACGTCGCCTGAGAGGGGATATGATAACATTATACAAATATATTCGGGGCCAATACAAACCATTATGTGGAAATTTATTCACAAACCGGACTTTACATAGGACACGAGGCCATGCGTTTAGACTGGAAGAAAGTAGATTTCGTCTAAGGCAAAGGAAAGGTTTTTTTTACTGTAAGAACAATCAGGATGTGGAATTCTGTGCCTGAAGAAGTGGTTTTATCAGAGTCAATACAGATGTTCAAACAGCTACTAGATGCATACTTGCAAAAACAGAATATTCAAGGATATAATCTTTCAATGTAGGGTAATAACTGCTAGATCCAAGGATAAATCTGACTGCCATTCTGGGGTCAAGAAGGAATTTTTTCCTAGCTTGTTGCAAAATTGTGCTTCAAACTGGTTTTATTTGCCTTCTTTTGGATCAACAGCAAAAAACAAATCTGAGGAAGGCTGAATTGGATGGACGCAAGTCTCTTTTCAGCTATGTAACTATGTAACTATGTAAAAATTAAAACAGTTGTCATGATTTTTGCCTTTAGCCAGAGTTAACCCAAACAGAAAAAAGCACAAGTAGGGAAGAGAGACTACCTGCAAAAATAGTGTGCCTAGGAATGCCTATGCATATCACTGTGAATACGGTATTGGATGGGTTACTTAAAGGACCATTCAGTGCAACATGGCATCTTCATCTCAATGAAGTTGTTATGGTGCCAGAAGGTCCAAGGCACTGTCTTACCTTAAGGAATGAAACCGTTACGAACAGTTTAACTGCAAACTTCTGAAGACGGTGCCTATCCACTCTGTCCAGCTCCTTCAGCCAACAGTCCAAGGGTTCAGTCAGGAAGCAATACTTTGTTATACAAAGTATATACAAAGCAATACTATGTTCGACAAAGAGTGTATGATGGGAAATTCGTGTTTCACCAATGAATTAACTATGGCAGAAAACAAAACTACAAAAAAAAATAAAAAAATAAAAGTATGATTGCAATTAATCTCAAAGGAAAATCAACACATTTATACATTATATCACCAAATATTCAAGCACATATTTATAACTTGTATGATACATTTAACAACCATAAATGGAAATAGATTACTTTGAGAGCCAGCTCTAGGTTGTCTGCTTATGTATATAATTAATTGTTCTAATCTATCTAACAACTCATTAACATTTCTCTAATAAGTGGGTGCCTGTGTTCATCGACATATCATAAGAAGTGTGCGTCATATGAAGCCCAATGTGTTTACCCCAGTGCATGAGATGAGCTGATTAACAAGTTAAAATTATGTTTTTTGCTTATGCTTAACCCTTTGAGTGCAAGATGTCAGATACATGACACAATCAAAGGATTCATGGGATATTACAAGAGCTCCTACCTGGAGGAGATCTTGCAGACTGAGGCAACAGACATACAAGTGGAACAAAGAAGCCTCACTTTGAATTAGTGAGCGTACTGGTGGACACTGATGATCACATGATATTATCAGCCCTGTGCATTCTGGGATGTGTAGTTCTGAAAAGAATAAGGGTTTAGCTTGCAGTGCAGAAAAAAATAGTCATGTTTTGGGGGTAACAGCCCCTAACATTGTAACATTAGGTGTTTAAGAGTCTAAACCAGGCTTCTCCAAACGCCGGCCCTCCAGATGTTGCTGAACTACAACCCCCATGATTCTCAGCCTATCTATTTCATTCATAGAATCATGGGAGTTGTAGTTCAGCAACATCTGGAGGGCCGGAGTTTGAGGAAGCCTGCTCTAAACAGAGACAATCCTGCTGCCTTGGACTACATTTCCTATGATGCATAACCAACTATACAATTTGGTCACAGCGTGGGTAATGTAGTCCTCAGCAGCATGAGTGCCAAAGGTTAGCAGTAGCTGTAAGAACTGATTGAAGGAAAGCGATTATATCTCTGTATTTCTTGTAATATCTTTTCTTATCCCTATGGTTAACAAATATATATTTGTGAGGTGTGAAAAATAGGATTAAATTGAGAAATTCACACCTGATTATCCTGCCATTGGGCGACTCCATCTTGGCAACCTGTCAAATATTTTTATAAACTCCGTTCTTTGCACCTGCAATCAGCATATAGAAAGCATACAGAGGAGAAATGAAACAATGTTTCCGTTACCCCTCTTCATTTGCAATGCTTTCTTCTGTTTGCTACCTAGCTAGAACCTCCTGAGGCTTATGTCACATGAGTAGAAGACTCTCTTAATTTCTAAAGTGCATTAAATGGGCTATTTTAGTTAAACACTCTTTATAAAGAAATGACTCACATTAAACAAATAGTGCAAAACCCTGCATTTCTCTGATGTTTATATAATTTTATTCTTCTACCAATTTTAACTTTTGTAGATAAACATGTTTACTGTAAGGGTCATGTTTTGATGCCTCTTTAACTTGTTTAGGTTTCTCAATATAATTGTAGCGTTGTGCATATTGTTACAACACGACAGTGGATGTTCTCTAAAACGACACCAAATAGCCAATAGAAAACCTGTTATAACAGAAAAAACCTCAAATGTGAATACAGCAAAATGGGTGGTTACCTTTTTTGACGGTGGTAGGTAGGTATCTAGAAGTTGAAGGTGAATATGAGGGACATTCAGCTGGGATTAAATGGGATGTCACACCATATGGAATGAAGAGTTAAATCCAGCAATTAAACAGCAATGTGAGGGTTCTGGATACCAGTACTCATAGGTCAGCATCCAAAGAAAACCAATAATGAAGTAAAATCTAAGTAGATATCCAGAAATCAGGATCCAGTGTTTAGGTCACAGCTGAGAGTATTAAATGGGCCTAAAAGTCCACTGTGCAAGTCAGGATTACAACCATTTACAAAATCGATTGTGAGAGGGTTACTCGGGAGTCAGAGTCCAATATCCAAGCCAGAGTCAGATCCATGTAAGCAAGCAGCGTAGAAAGGGTTAACCAGCAATCAAAGTCTATTTACCAAGCCAGGGTCGGAATGATCAAAGCAATCAGCAAAGAAGGGGCTAAGCATAATTCAAAGACCAGTTTCCAAGCAATGGGTCAGTACTATTAAACATGCAACTCAGTGCGGGTTTATCCATAATCCAAGGTAGAGAGTAGCAGCCAAGGGGCTGGAGAGGGGGAGACCTGGAGGGAAAAAGATAGACTAGCATGGATTAACAGTATGGCAAGGTTCCGGCGGCATGAAGTTAAATAGTGTTACCAAGACTGGCCTTAGGGGTGAGCAAACTGTGCAGCCGTACAGGACACGATGGCAAGGGGACACCGGATGGCAAACACAGCTCGCACACGCAGGGGCCAGCAGAGTTTGAAAGGCGGTCTACATGTAAGGGAGGAGGTGGCTGAGTATAATATTGGTGCTGCTAAATGGGCAACGGGGCAGAGCTAAATGCACCTTGAACCCGCTGCCTGGTTGGTGCTGCACACTGAAGGGAAGCAGGAAGGAGTCAATGCTTCCCAACAAATAGACCTCAGGGACTTCAGTACACTCCAACCCTCCACCACCAGCCAGTGACAATATATTTGAAGAGGTGACTGTGTGTATGTGTAACTGTAACTGTGTGTGTGTTTCTGAAACTGTGTGTGACTGTCTACCTGTGTCTTTGTGTGTGACTGCCCGCCTATAACTGTGTGCCTGTAACTGTGTGCCTGTAACTGTGTGTTTGTCTGCCCGTACCTGTGTGTGTGTGTGTGTGTGTGTGTGACTGTCTGCCTGTAACGGTGTGTGTGTGTGTGTGTGTGTGACTGTCTGCCTGTAACTGTCTGTGTGTGCCTGTAATTGTGTGTGTGTGACTGTCTACCTGTGACAGTGTGTGTGAATGTGACTGTCTGCCTGTAGCTGTGTATCTGTGTGCCTGCACCTGTGTGTGTGATCTTCTGCCTTTAACTGTGTGTATGACTGTATACCTGTGAGTGTGTGTCCGCTACACACACACTGTACATGGATGACTGAGTGTGACCATGGAGGGTGTAACGGAGCTCCAGTACTCCAACCGAGTACCTCCGCCAAGTCTGCTTCCTTGTAGCTTTCAGGGACCCTGAAACACTTCAGACCCAGACGCCATCGCTTTACTGGGATCACTTAGGGCCTTTTCCACCCTGGACCAAACACCAGACAACACATGGTGAAGGTTAAACAGCAACTCTTTAATGAATCCAGCACACATAGTTTAAGCCCCCAACAGCCTAATTTACATACAATAGGTTACATAGATTACTTTAGTACCAGGAAGGATGGGGTCAGACAATAGCAGGGGCTGATGGGAGATTGAGGAGGGACAGAACAGCTAGTTTAAACTGGTCTGGCAGTGTCTCTGGGACAACGACCTGCTGGGGAAACAATAGGACAGGAAAAGGGGGGGAGGGGGAGATGCACAGACCAGCAATACATTCAACATACCCTGCACAAATAATAGGCACAATGTGACAAAAGACACAAAAGGAATTTGGGAGCCCACCCATAGTGTCTGTCTTCCATCCCCAGTGATGGTGACTACCGTCACATAGGGCGGCTAAGGCCGGATCTGAGTGTTATGTACTCGATCTGAACCTTAGAGGAGAGGTATTGGAAAATCTCAGCCTGGAGTAAAACATGGCAATAATCCTGTATTTTGGCATTAGTAGTTATTTGACTTTTCTTACTTTTATAACAGCTTAAAAAAGAAGAAATTCATGTAGCTGGCTGAAAAAGCTCAGGAGAGCGAAACACGTTTTGTCTGCAAGGACTTTTTACACAATCGTGGACAGTGTTATATATAATTTTTGTTTTGTTTTAAACTGTTTTTATTACTTTTTTATTGTCAATAAGTTTATACATTGAGAGTCCTCTGCAGCCCCAGGAACCTTCATTGGGGAAAGTGCCATCCCCTTTATAGTGGCACTATTCCTACATACCTTGAGAACCTGGACTTGGGCTCTAAATAAGGTGAGCTCAATACCTACCTCTATACCTTATCCATTTTATACTAGTAATACTACACATTCTCTTTCTTTTTTTGGAGGGTATATTCCATTATATTCCATTAAAGGAGTGGTGTGATGCTGCCATAAAAGCATATCAGCAATCTATACAGAGCCAATATATATATAGGCTCCATCAAATGTAAGTGATCTGACCAAGCAGAGTCATAATATTTGTTGACTATTACCATCTGCACTACATCTGTACTTTTTTGTCTTTTATCTATTGCCTATATCCCCCTGTACATCTATATATACACGTGGGGCAAGTCACCCCATTGCCTTTTTTTTGCACTTTAGCGCAATCTAAGTCTGACAGTGGTGATCTGAACATTAAGGAGCTCAACTAAAATAAAATGTTTTGGCTACAGCAGACAATGCCATAACACCTACAGTGTTGGCCGAAAGCACTGCTAGACTGCCTTGGCATACCTCTCAACAATACCGGATATGACAGGACCATCCCAATTTCAGTGTCTTGATCCACTGTCCTAGGTGTGATCCCTGCTTCCCAAATGTTAGGGCATCAGAGAACTGTCCGCTCCAATCTTAACGCAAGAGCATCAATAGACGAGTTTACTCTGAACTGAAAGGTGTCAGCTCACTAGTGTCTACTTAGCAAATGTGTAACAAGTTATCCCATACCTCTGATAACCAGCTCTCCTCTGGGTTTCACTTCCCAGTGCACTGTAAAAATAATCTGCATGGGAATAAAAACTGTTTCAAGTAGTGCTTTTAATTATGCAATACCTCCCACTATCCCTATTTAGGAGTGACAGCCCCTATTTTGTTTACCCAAATCCCTATGTTGCTCTTTTCTAGGAGCTCCATATTGTTGGTGTGTTTTGAGTGTGTAAGAGAGCTCCACGGCAATAATACTCCCAGTAATGTGTCTTTAAACTACAATAAATGTGTTTAGAAATCAGTCTGTGTAAATAATATACAATGTTCTTGTTCTAAACTACATTATAGTTGCATAAACCATTATTAGTAACTTGGACCTCTAAAATTAAAGTGAAATTCACTTTAAATTCACATTGGATTCTCACTTTAATAATTAACCCTTTAGTAAATAATGATATAATTACTGAGTAGCGTTCACACCCTGTGTGTTCTGATTATCATAATCCTGTTTTAATCTATATATGGTTATACTGACTACATTCCTGGATGTGTTAGGACAGGGATAGGCAACCTTCGGCACTCCAGATGTTGTGGACTACATCCCCCATACTGCTCTTACACACATAATGCTGGCAAAGCATCATGGGAGATGTAGTCTAAACAAGCATCAGCAGTGCTGAAGGTTGCCTATGCTTGTGTTAGGACATGAAAGTGAAAGTGAAAGTGAAAGTAACTGGTGGTTGCAGTATGACAAAAGAAACAAAAAAAAAAAATATTTTGAGGAAGCGGGAAGAACTCTGCAGCTCTCTGAAAAGGTGAGTTTATATCTACATTTATATTTATTTGTGTGCTTGCTGGCATACTGTTTAATCATTTTATGTAGTTTATAAAAACATGTCTGGAAGAGAGCTCTAACAAAACATGTTTTTTCTGCCCCCTCTGTTTTCTTAAGCACTTCTTTATAACTTATGAATCTTTTTCACATAAGTATTAACTTATATTTAGAAAGATAAGTTCATATGTATATCAAGATGATCAAGACTCAGGAAGGTCGAAACGTTGATGCTTGTTTGATGAATATATTAAATAAAAAATACATAGAGAGTGCTCCTTTTTGACCCTTGATACATACAGCACTGTTCAGCACCCAGGTGGTTACTATTAGCTTTGTTTGTCGTTGGGATGATTGCCAGACATTTTATATATATATATATATATATATATATATATTTATACACAGTCATGGAAATAGAAAGTACACCCTCTTTGAATTCTATGGCTTTACATATCAGGACATAATAACAATCTGTTCTTTAGCAGGTCTGAAAATAAATTAGATGAATACAATAAAATAAATACAAATATTTACAACAGCTACATCTGCAGGGTTAAAACCTGAGGGACCTGGCACCCAGACCACTTAATTGAGCTGAAGTGGTTTGGGTGACTATAGTGTCCCTTTAAAATAAAACCAAAATGGAGAAATGTGTGAAAAACTAAGTACACCCTTACTGCTTCTATAGGAATTAAGAGGCTAAGTAGCAGACAGGTGCTGCTAACAGGGCCGTCTATAATATGATTAGGACCCTGGGCAATGCATTTTCTTGGGCCCCATGGGCCCTGTCCCTGCCACTGCCTCACCCCCCAATTACGTCCAACCCGCAATCACACTGACAAACGTACTGGCACATACACACACAGACAGACATTAAAACATTCACAGATACATACTGACACACACAGTCACTACACACAAATATATACTGGCAGACATACTGACACACACACAGACATACATACATACATACACAGACACATACATTAACAAATATACTGACACACACACAAACACATACACTGACAGATATACTAAAGCACACAGACACATACACTGACAGACACATTGACACACACACACAGTCATACTGACATACACACTGACACACACACACACAGGCATACTGACATATACACAGACTGACGTAATGTCTGATACAGACAGACAGTAAAACATTCACAGATATATACTGACACACACGTACACTGACATACAAATATATCCTGGCAGACATACTGACACACACACACACAGACATACATACATACATACATACACACACAGACACATACACTGACAGACATACTGACTGACACACACATACACACACAGACATACTTACATACACACACAGACATACTGACACACAAAGACATGCTGACACACACACACAGACATACTGACATACACACAGACAGACGTACTGGCACATACACACAGACAGACATTAAAACATTCACAGATACATACTGACACACACAAATATATCCTGGCAGACATACTGACACACACGTACACACACACACACAGAGACATACCTACATACACACACACAGACATACTGGCATACACACAGACATACTGACACACACACACACACAGACATACTGGCATACACACAGACATACTGGACACACACACACACACACACACACACAGACATACTGGGCACACACACACACAGACATACTGACACACACACACAGACATACTGGCATACACACACAGACATACTGACACACACACACACACACACTGACACACACACACTGACACACACACACAGACATACTGGCATACACACAGACATACACACACACACAGACCTACTGACATACATTTAGCCACCCTCCAGGTTCTTACTTTTTTCTGGAGGGTGGTTTCCCTGGTCCAGTGGCAGGCTGAGGCAGATGGGAGTTCTCCTCTGGAACTCCCCTCCTCCCTGCCTTCCTCCTCCCGCGTGGCTATCTCCGGTGAGAGGAAGTGACGTCACTTCCTCCCAGCTGGCTGCAGAACCGGAAGAGGGGCCCGGTCGCGCTGTTTAAGCGCCACAGCGCCCGACCGGGCCCCTGCTGACACATGCTCCCCAGGTGGCCCTTAGTGCATGGGCCACCCGGGGAGCCTCCTCAGTGTGCGGGAGCCGCACCGCCTGGTCCATAGGAGCTTCGCAAATCGCGGGGCCCACAGAGCAGCTGCTCTGGGCCCCCAGGAGCAACTGGGCCCGGGGCAGCTGCCCCGTTTGCCCCGCGTTAAAGACAGCCCTGGCTGCTAATAAAATGCCCTTGATCTGTTGATCATCAGCAAGTGTGGCCACCTCTATACAAGCTGAAGTTTTAGCAGTTTTCTGGTCTGGAGCATTCAGGTGTGTTTACACTATGCCAAGTAGGAAAATCACCAGCAATGATCTTGACTGAATGATCAAACTGGGAAGGGTTATAAGGCCATTTCCAAACAATTTAAAGTCCATCATTCTACAGTGAGAAAGATTATTCAAAAGTGGAAAAATTCACTGGTACTGACAAAAATATCAGGTGAAATAATAGCGTGAAAAAACAAACAGCATAATTTTAGTTCTTCAATAATGAAATGTATTAGCAACCTACTATTTAAAGCATGGGTCCTCAAACTCCGGCCCCCCAGATGTTGCTGAACTACAACTCCCATTATTCTTTGAATTACATAGATAGCCAGAATCATGGGAGTTGTAGTTCAGCAACATCTGGGGGGCTGGAGTTTGAGGACCCAAGATTTAAAGAGATACACTGAGACCAAAATAACTTTAGCTTAATAAAGTAGTTTTGGTTAGAAAAGAAGATGCCCCAGCAGCCTCATTGCTTCATTTTTTGCCTTTTGGGGATTAACCCCTTAAGGACACATGACATGTGTGACATGTCATGATTCCCTTTTATTCCAGAAGTGTGGTCCTTAAGGGGAGTAAATCACTTTATTTATGAAACCCCGGCCACCTTCATTGGCTGTGACTCACACAGTCTCTCTCCACACTTCCTATAAAAAACATTTTTATTTATTGCACAGTATGTTTAATTTAGAATTGCGTATATCCAGCCCTGGTAATAGAGGGGCATCGTGTGTATGATTAAAGTTCAATGTGTAGAGCAAGAGGTAGGGCCGGACTGTGACAAAAATCAGAAAGGCAGTCCAATACAAGAGGGCAGGGCCAAAGTGAGGGGCACATTGTGTCATCACCAATGACACGCACATGCACACCCAAAGTGGATATGCCAGTTTGATTCCCCTATCAGGGCAACTAAAGCTCAATGCCCTGCTAAAGAGATCTCACAGGGAAAATGTCTCATGAATTTGCATTTGTGGGGTAGACTACTGGTGGTGTAGTGTGTGTGTGTGTTTGTGTGTGTGGTGAACCAGTTTTTGTGTGGGGGTGAGCCTTGTGTGGTTGCATGTGTGGTGCACACTATCTGTGATGTCCTATGTGTTTGTGAGGAGACTGCTTGTAGGGCTATCTGTGTGTGGGAATTCAGCTTTTGGAATTACATATGTAGGGCTAATTGCAGGAGAGTAGACTTTTTATTCCCTTGGGCCAGAGAGGAGGGTATATTACACCCTGGTGATCCAGTGGGAAACACTTTGTCTACACCCCCAGCAGGTGCAGGCAGCTACATCCTGCCTGTGTGCTGGGAAAGTATAAGAGCATTTCTGTGCTAACCCACAGCATTACTCTGATACAGGGACCAAAGTAGAGATGTGCCAGAGGTTCAGACTTTCCCCATGACAGCATTAACATGGGTGGGCGATGTGGGAGACCGTGGACTGGTCATGGACACCCGCACTTTTTGAGCTCCCATATTGGCCTTGGCCCATGGCTATCACGACCCATCAGGATTTTGCTTGGTTTGCCAATGGCCAGTCTGGACCTGACAGGAGATAATTACTAAAGTAAACACACTGTGCTGTAAGATCTGATTAAAAATGGGAGCTTTTTTTTTTTTAGCAATTTCTTTTTGTGTCAATCTTTATTTTCTTCAGTGCAAAAGAGTACACATAGGCTTGTAAAGCCACAACAGCAAATGTAAGCTTTCAATAAGACACATGATGTCATATTGTTATGGCATGACATGACATGTACTAGCACATTTTTAGGAAATCAAAAAGAAAACAAGAGAAAATAACATAAATGCAGTATCAGATATCCAGACACAGGCTTCAAGCTTAGGTTAGATAAGACGAAAACTGTCTGGTATAAAACTAGCATTATAGGTCGATTAAGGAGTAAAGCATATATATGAGACATGCAATGGTACCAGACTTATAACTACATGAAAATAAAGCATGATATTGGTACTTATGACTAGTGAAGAAGAGTACACTGACTCATTTGTAAACACACCAGAATAAGCTTAATGTAGTTGTTCTGGTGAGTATAATAGCTCCCTTCAGGCATTATCATGCAAACACTGCCTTTTCAGAGAAAAGGTAGTGTTTACATTGCCCCTAGGGACACCTACAAGTGGCCACTCCTTAGATGGCCACTGGAGGGGCTTCCTGGCTCACGGCTGCACAGTAAGCAGCCCTGCCGTTCAGCGTCCCCACGAGGGGCTAAGGGTGGGTTTAGCACTATAGGGTCAGGAATACATGTTTGTGTTCCTGACCTTATAGTGATCCTTTAATGTGCCACTGGGTACTATGCCCACAGAAAAAACAGGACTAAAAGGACTATACTGAAAAATTAGATTTTCATGCAGGCTGTGTAAGTTACAGCCAAGGGAGGTGTGGCTAGAGCTGCATAAATAGAAACAAAAGTAACTCCTAAATGGCAGAGAATTGAGCAGTGAGACTGCAGGGGTTTAACAGATCTATACATCAAAACTGATTTTGGTTTTGGTACTTAGAGGGTCCCTTTAACAAAAAAAATGTTTTTAAACTGCTACAGATACTAAACCCAAAATTGGTTTTGTTGTTTTTCTTTTGTTTTCTTTACTAGTTGTCCTGTGATTCATGTGAGTAAACGGCAGGTGGTCAAAGGACTTTGTGTTCGCAAATTTCAGTAGGTGTTTATTTAACATATGAAACTTTTCTTTCTGTTTCTGTTTAACTTCCAGAGTGAGAGAAAGAGGAATTATTACACGGTGACGGTGAGCAGCACTTGGTTTAATGTACCTTATCTCCCAGGTAAGAGCATAATATGTTATGACTTAAAGGATTAGTCTAATTTCCCAAAACACTTTAACTTAAAAGGAACACTATAGGGTCAGGAATACAAACATGTATTCCTGACCCTATAGTGTTAAAACCACCATCTAGCCCTCCAGTCTCCCCATTGTCCCCAAAAATATAGTAAAAATGTATTCCTGACCCTATAGTGTTAAAACCACCATCTAGCCCCCCAGTCTCCCCATTGTCCCCAAAAATATAGTAAAAATCATACCTTTATTCCAGTCTGCTGCTTGGCTGAGATCATCATAAATGATTCTCTCAGCCAATCACAATGATGTAACATAGCATTGGCTGAGACTGTCAAGGAGGCAGATCAGGGGCAGAGCCAGCACAAGTCAAACACAGCCCTGGCCAATCAATGTATCTCTATGAGGAAATGTCAGTGTCTCCATGCAGAGGGTGGAGATACTGAATGGAAGTACTGTACAGTGTGCTGCACTGCCCTAGGAAACACCTCTAGTAGCCATCTGAGGAGTGGCCAGTGGAGGTATCCCTAAGCTGTAATGTAAATACTGCATTTTCTCTGAAAAGACAGTGTTTACTGCGAAAGCCTGAAGGGCTTATACTCTGATTATACTCACCAGAACAAATACAATAAGCTGTAGATGTTCTGGTGACTATTATACAAGTGCATTCGTTATAGGACGAATATGATTTTGTCCTAATTTCCAGGTCACGGGTTGGGGTGCGCGAGAAGGGGCATGCGGGAGGATTTAACCTCCCTTTAATAATATGGGTGTCATAGTGACCCCCATAAGATTTAATGCATGGGGCTGGGTAGGAATTGTTAATGTTTATTACAAGGAGTGAGCTGGTAGCGCTGCTGACCCCCTCTTTGCTCTTTTAGTTTTTTGTGTATGCGCCAAAATGTGCGAAAAAAAATATTTTTACTAAATTTCATCCAAAAAACGAATGCAACAGGGAAGGGGGAATACATTTTTATTTTTAAATAATTATTAATTTAATACATATTATATACAAACACTACAAATATTGACACACACTACACATGGATGAAGGGGTATGACCGGCGGGGAGGGGCTGTGATGATTTTTTGCACAGGGCGCTCTAGGCCGGCCCTGATTCCTCTCTTGCAACTATCACTAGTCTAATACTATCCTTACCTTTTGTGTCACTTTACCCCACTTCCTCTAGCATGTAAGCTCATTGAGCAGGGCCCTAAACCCCTCTGTTCCTGTGTGTCCAACTTTTCTGGTTACAACTACATGTTTGTTCATCCACCCATTGTAAAGCGCTACAGAATTTGTTGGCGCTATATAAATAATAACATAATAATTCCACTCAACATAAATGATGTTTATTGTTGCAATGTCTTTCTCTTTTTTTCTTACTGTTAAATATAGCTTTAACTGAAAAAATATTACATTGCCACTTTAACATCTACATTTGTCTTCACTGAACATTGTTAAGATAATCTTTTTTGCGCCTTGTTCACATTGTATAAATACAGTTTGGTTCAATTTGAAGTTTTTTTATGCAATAAAATTTCTTATCTTACAGCCATGACTGAGGAACGCACAAGTGAAGCAGGTGAAGAACAAGGAATCACAGAAGAAAAAGACTTGGCAGAAAAACTAAATGAAGTGGGATTAGAGCCGAAAAAATGGCTGCCTCTGCTCAAGCAAATTTTGGGTGTAACAAATGTGCAAGTCCTAAAACACACTGGCCCGCAAGATTATCATAAAATAGAAAAAAAAGCTGATCATCCTTGGGAAAAACACTCACTTAGAAAACTGTTGAATGCTGATGGAGGCCAGATAACATTAAGTCAAATGCAAGATGACCGCATCAAACGATTAAAAGAAAATCAAGATGGCTCTAAGAAAGCCCTGGAAGAACTGAAGAAAATGATGAATGAAGGCAAAACACATTTCAGCAAGGAAATTTTGGAAAGTGAGAAAAACTTGTGCAAAGCAATGGACATATCAAAAGAATCATGGCCCTCATCTAATGAACCGTTGGAAAAAGTGGTTGAGAAACTACACATGATGCTGAACATGAAGGATGAGGTACTTTGTAATGCTACCAACCTGCCTGATAAAGGTGTTTTTCTTAATGCTTCTTGTGGCCTTGCCTTAGAAGGTATATATATGACATCAAAACAAGATGATGTCCTAAAAAAGAGAGAACAAATTATTGCTTTACCGGAGGACATTCACTTAACTTGTCCACAGAAAGGACCTGTGTTTGAACAGAAAGAATTCTCATCTTCTACAGCAGAGTCAACATTCCATACAACCATGGAAAAGCTTGGATACAGTATAGCTGCCTCAGCAAAGGGTGGTTTCTGGGGTTTTCAGGCAGAAGCCAATGCCAATTATAAGACATCTGAAAAGTCTGCAAATAAGAGTGTGTTCCACACCGAACAAGCTTATTTTTGCACGACAAAATACAACTACATTCCACTGGCATCCTGTTATATTCCTAAAGATAAGCTCTGTCTTTCTGGAGCAGCTCTTAAGGATTTACAAACCATTGAGGAGCTTTCAAGACACAGCCCATTAGAAGACAAGTTCACATTGATTAGAGAACAGTACGAGAAATTTTTCATTCGTTATGGCTCCCACGCAAATCAAGGAACCATTCACTTTGGAGGAATTTTCTGGTGGAAAGCAACTTCGCAAGGATTCAAGGAAGACAAGCTAGAGGAAATTAAAAAAGAGAATTCAGAGGCTCTCAATGTTTATGCAGGTGGCAGCTATGAAGGGTCATTCTCTGCCGCAGCTAGTGTTGATGTGACACGAACTAACTCTAAAAAGTCTTCTCTTGAAACAAAACAACAAACACTCACGAAACAAACACAGCTTTATGTGTCCAAAACTGGAGGACCTGTTGGTGTTGATTGCCACAATTTATGGAAATGTGGACTTGTTGCTAGCAACAAGACATGGAATGTGATTGATCGAGGCTTTTGCCTTATACCTGTATGGGAAATAATAATTTTTGCTCACAGGGAGGATTTCAAAGATGTCCGCCAAGTTAGCATTGACCTTACAAAAGTCTATGAAGCCATTACTAATCAATCCCAACATTTGCTATTTGGTGAGAATATTGTCACTGCACTGGAGGAAGCCAGGAAGTTCCTGTCCGATCTGTCATCCTGGGAGGTAACATCAGCAGAACTGCAGTTAGCCAGGCTGATTGATTTTAAGCAAAGGTTAAATGAAATAACAAAAAACTATAACATTTGGGTCAATGTTTGTCTGCCTGACAAGGGGATTCAACGTTTCTTAGGAAAAGTTATTGAATCATACAAAAATACCCAATCTGATGTGACTTTCATCCGGTCACAGATTAAATGTTTGCTACAAAATTATGAATGTTCAAAGGAGAACTTAACTGCATACTCTTTTATAATCAAATGGGTGTATCAGTCAGAGGAAAAGCAAAGCTCTGTTTCTATTAAAGACTTTTCGATGTTCATTAATGTTCTCTCACAAGCAAAGAATGATCTTCTTCCTGCAAGTACTTGTCTGTACATTTCCGAGGAAGAAATTAGTGAAACCCAAATAAAAGTTAATATTACTGTTCTTTCAGCAATCAATTCATTTTTAAAGACACTTAAACATATGGGTCAGACTGATATTGAACTTTTGATAATTACAGTTATGAGCAGTCTTGGTTACTGCTTAAGAAAGAAAGATTTCCAATATTTCCTTGGCTGGCAAGAAATTCGATTAATGGAAAAGGAAATAAAACGCCTGTACAATGAGTACAACAATCTCAGGGAGCTTCAGGTTTATCGAGCACAAGCTTTTGTGCTAAAGGCAGGTTTAACAGCAGGTGATAATGTTAGACCTAAATCTTTCGAACAAAAAAAAGAGCTTGTAGACTACATGGTAAAAACCATGAAAAGTTACCTTGAACAGGATATTCTAGATGTGCTAGAAAAGCATTCTGAATCCTGTGAGTTTCAGTCTCTAAAAGAAGATTTGGATCTGTTTATTGCTGATCTCTATGGAGCGAAAATGAAGCAAAAACCTGAAGAAATTACTAATAGAATAAAAAATGTTTGTCAAATAATTTGTCCAGAAGATATATCAGCACATACATCCAGCGACCTTCAAGAAGCTCCAGAAGAAAGCTTGAGAATTACCACCAACCAGGAGTTTTCTAATTTGATACAGAGCCTTGGGCTAGACAAATATTTCCCAAAAAAGATGAGCAGAAAAAAACTCTGTATCGTGAGCAAATTCTCAGTAGACCAATTAAAGACAGAACATGATCTGCCTTCATGTTTTGTCCAAATGCTTATGACGTTAGATTACAGATTCAGATACTTGGTTTGCAAAGATACAAGTCAAGCAAATATTCCTGGAAATGTTAGTTACCCAACACAACAATTAAATACATTTGATTCAGCAGATGATTTTTTAAATAATTTCCAAAAAGAAGATACCATACAAGCAAAAAGTAACATGCACCCTGCAGATATCCTCATGGCAATGTTCTACTGTGCAGATGATTTCATGAGACAATATATGTTTTCCAAGCTTTCTCTGTGCCAGTTTGCACTTCCCTTCCTCGTGCCTTTGCCATATGAGGATTCAATAGAACTGCCTCTGTGGTCTCTTAGACTTGTCCAAAAAAGTATTTTATCTGCTGGAAAAGATGGGGCAAGAAGTCATCAAGAAAAACTCATTTGCAAAGTTGAGAATCCAATGGCCTGTTTCACACGGATTGGAAAATCCAATCTCTCAAAATCACAAATATTAAACAACTTGCTTAGTACCTCAAAGCATGACATTTTCTACCATAGAAACTGCAAAGGCTGTGAAAAGAAACCTATATTAATGGAAGGTGTTGCTGAAATCTTTTGGTTTTGCCCTAGTGGGAAGGATGAGAACCAATATGAGTCATGCACTGCTTTTGTCAATTTACATGGAGATGCAAAGGAACACAATCAACAATCTGATTTCCTACTTGAGATCTCTACTGTTAATATCCTTCTGTTCTCTGATTCAGAAATGGATAAAAAAGGCAAAGATTTGCTCTCACGTATGTTACAAAGCAAAAAACCTTTGATATGCCTCTGCCCTGATCGAGAATTTGCAATAGGAACAAGCAATTCTACTCAGGTGATAATTGGCCTCAAAAACCAAAATGAAGCCAAAATCCTGGAAGAGCTGTCTAGAACCCTGAAGCGCTTATTGGGACTCTCCAAGAAGTCACAAAGTCTTGAAACCTGTGCTAAGATTGCACGAGATTGTGGTTTCTTTGTTGATGAGGATAATTCTGAGCACGCAGAAGGGAAAGCCTCAGGCACATATTTGCTTAACTACATAAAGGAAAATGACTTAATAAAGTCTAAGGAAGAATTGTTGCCAATTTCAGGACACTTGTGGCATTCATGGTGCAAAAAAGATAAAGAGTTGTCTCGTCTTGCAAACAGGATGAAGAGAAGTATTGAGCAACATAAAAGTGAAATAGAATCAGAGAAAATGGCAATAAGACGCAAACAGTTGGAAAAGACCCAAGACAATAATTTCATGCTGTCTTTTATTACTAAGCTAAAATCATTACCAAAACCAACTAAAATGTTCTTTTTACAATGGTTTAAATTATTCATAGATGATCTTTCTTGTGATCATATTAAGGAGCTGCAGTATCAGTACAATCAACTATGGTCCCATCTTCAAACAGAAAAATCTAAGAGTGAAAATCTGAGCAGCACTCTCCTACAGGACATGGACAACCTAAGCAGAAAGATAAATGCCTGTATGTTTGGTCTAGAGCATGTACTAAGGGAACTTGGTCAAACATATGAAGTATTAAGTGAACTTAAGCTTAACAATGATAACTGTTACACAGAGCTCCCAAAAATTGCTGCAGATCTCATGGCATCAGGCTATCCGATAGAACTAATGGATGGAGATGCTTCCTACCTTCCATTAAAATGGATTAGAGCTGTTTTTGATGAGCTTATTAAAATTATAGGCGATAAGAAATTATTTGTGCTTTCAGTACTTGGGGTCCAAAGCTCAGGAAAATCAACTCTACTAAATACCATGTTCGGTCTTCAATTTGCAGTCAGTCCTGGACGATGCACACGAGGAGCATTTATGCAACTTGTTGATATTGATGAAGATTTGAAAAAAGATTTAGGCTTTGATTTCATTCTTGTAATTGATACAGAAGGACTTCGGTCAATGGAACTGGTCAACCAGTCAAATCAGAATCATGATAATGAGCTAGCAACCTTCGTTATTGGTGTTGGGAATATGACATTGATTAATGTGTTTGGAGAAAACCCTTCTGAGATCAAAGATATTCTCCAAATTGCTGTGCAGGCTTTTCTAAGGATGAAACAGATAAAACTTTCCCCAAGTTGTGTGTTTGTTCATCAAAATGTATCAGAAATGTCTGCTTCTGAGAAAAATTTGGAAGGCCGTATACATTTAGAAAAAGAACTGGACAAAATAACCAGTCTTGCAGCTGAGCAGGAGTTTTGTAATGTCCAACGTTTCAGGGATGTCATCAGATTTGATGCAGAGAAACATATCCTTTATTTTGCTCACTTGTGGTTAGGAAACCCGCCAATGGCACCACCCAATCCTGCATACACTCAAAATGCCCAAGAACTGAGAAATATTATCCTTCAAGCTGGTGGAACAGAGGCAAAAAGTCTTTTGAGCATCTCTGAACTTAAAGTTCGCATCGAGGACCTTTGGCTCGCCTTAAAGAATGAGAACTTTGTATTCAGCTTTAGAAACACCCTGGAAATTTCTGCTTACAGCAAAGTAGAAAATAGATACAACCACTGGACCTGGCAGTTGAGACGACATGTTCTGGAGTTACAGATAAAATTGAGCAATAAGATTAAGAAAGGGGAGATTAGTAAATTGGAACGGAAGGATGTACAAGAGATGGTACAAGAGAAGTTTGTTGATATTGATAAGGAATTGAACATTTTTTTCAATGAGGACAAAGATAAAGAAATACTGGTTCAGTGGAGAGAAAATGTTAAAAAGAGGTTGAAGAATCTTCTGATTGAACTAGTCGAAGAAACTAAACGACAAGGACAAGATCTGATAAGACTAAAAAAGAGCCAGAGCAAAGTAAAACAAAAGCAAACAGACTATGAAGAAGAACTCTTTAAAAAAAGCAAGCAAGTGGCGCTTACTATAAAAAATGAGGATTTAAAAGAAGAGGATCTGAGAGAACATTTCATTACTCTCTGGCAGTCTTGGGTGATGGAAATCAAGTCCTCGCTCCCGCCTGTTGAAAAACCTAATCTAATTAGGGATGCAGAAGCAATTATTTGGGATTATTTCCAAAATGAGCCTGGTATAGCTGACAAATTGAGAGATGTCTCTAAGTGGAAGCTATTTTCCATTGATTTTGGAAAGCACATTTCTATGAAAAGACGTTTTCTACTGGAAAAATCGTTAACTCAACATGATAAGTACTTCATTCAGAATGTGGTAGATAACCTCAAGAAGGAGATTACTGAATATTTGGAAAAAAAACACCAAAATAATGTAGATTATAATGAAGGATTTTTTCATGAAATAATAAACATAGTACTGGATGACGGTAATTTGAAATCAGAAAGCAACAACTTCACATTCACTAAAACTTTGAAAGTTGATTTGTCATTATACTTGTTTCATATGGCGATACCATCATTTGATGAATTGCAGCATGTTTTTCATATTATGAATGACCCACTGGAAGTTCTTGAGAGTAGACAGGAAGAGTTTTTTAATTGTTTCAAAATCTCCTGTGAAGGAGCTACTTCAGTCACAACATTCGCCAATTACCTATGCTCTAAGCTCATAGATGATGTTTGTTCTGCAGTATATAACCGAACAGCATTAGCTGTTGTAGATGAGATGAGCTGTAATTTTCCAGCCTTTAGTGGTAATCGGTCCAAGTTGGAAACTTACATTTTAATACATCTCGCCGAACATGAAGACTTTGAAAAATACAGACAGTACTTGCATTTTCCAGAGCAATTTTTTGAAAGCTACATTGAGGAATGTGTTCATGGCTACTGTTTAAACCAGAGTTCTCCAAGGCTGAATAACTTAATAAACATCAGTGTAGATCATTATCATAATCTTTTACTTTTGGCAATTAGTGAATCTACCCAGCTTGCCACAGATAAAGGCAGCAATGTATCAGGGTGGCTAGATGAGTTCTACAAACGAGTGGAAGACATTGTCTCCTTTTCAAGAGGTGAATTAAGAAGCATAGAGCATCAGGAGATCCGAGACATCGAGTTTATCAAGGAAGCAATGAGCAAGGCTTGGGATGTGTCGATGGATACCTTGAAAACCAAACTTGATAGAAGTAGTTTTGACTGTTTTGAGACAAAGCCATCAAACATTCTAGTGAAGCAACTATGTGGATGTTGGGAGCAGTGCCCATTCTGCAAAGCAATTTGCACCAACACCATCCCAGGTCATGATGGGGACCACAGTGTCCCTTTCCACCGATCCCAAGCAATTAGTGGCATTCCATGGATTAAGTCCAATGAATTTGTCACAGAAATCTGTTCTACTCTTGTATCATCTGATGCCTGTGCAGTAATAAGTGATACAAAAGAAATTCCATACAAAGATTATCGAAAGATTGGTCCCAATTATGAAAAGTGGAGTATCACACCGGATACCTCAGCCCAGCCCTACTGGAAATGGTTTGTTTCTTTTTTCCGGACCAACCTGGAAAATGATTATGGGTGCAGGTTTGTAGGGAAAGGTGCGATTCCACCCCAGTGGGAAGCAATCACCAAAGATGAAGTCATTGACATGCTAAAAGAACAAATTGGTACAAACTAGTCTATTATCGAAACATCCTTGCTTTAATAGCACCAGATTTAATGTTAACAGCCCAATTTAAAGGATGTGTATCTCATCCATTACACCACTGAACAACTCTCAAAGCTAGTACCAAAACTCCCACAGACATTAATAGAAATCTTGATGTTAATTCATATTTAACAGGCACATGTGCATGTAAAAACTAAACAGTTATGCAGTCAATCCTATGTCTCCTTTAGGTAGGTATATCCATAAGATAATGCAAGCCCACTAAAGGACTTCCATAACAGGTATCCAACCTACTCTAAAGTGAAATATCTTTAAAGTTTTAATGCACGTACCAAATATATATCACCAAAATACCAATTTGAACCAAGTTTAAACACGTCTGGTTCATTCACTAAACTGTGAAATTTAAATAAATGGGCACAATTTAGGCCCCAACAGCCAAATACTAATAATTGCTGGTAAAGCGTGCTGGGAGCAATCTTACTTATTGCCAAAATTAAAAATCCATATTTGCATTTGAGAATTAGACATGCAAATCACTTATCCACAATAGAATTTACTCTCAATATTGTTTTGGTGTACTTGCTAAAGCCCTGGGAATATTTATTGTGAGCGTCATAGTTGGTGCATGTGTGCATTTGTTGCACTCGTCCTTACAGGAATATATTTGTTTGACAATGAATGAATTCATCTGGCATAGAACCCCTTTAGGTTAATTGTTAAGCTGATTGATCAAGTATTAACAGTATCTTGAGTAAAAATTAAACATTAAAAAGATACACAGACAAATCTATATGGATATATTTGAAATCAGGCTGAGGGAGAGAGATATATTAGGGTCAGATGGGCCTGCAATA